ATATGAGAACAGTACATAAAAAACATTGCTATTTTATTTAGAATAATTAAAGTAGATTTCTCCGAAATTTTCAAGAAAACAAAAGTAAAAAATTTCAAAGTTTGTCTTAGAGGGTTACTCTCTTGTCGGCTACTTTTTTAGGCGTTATCCCTTAAGTTTGCTTGACTTTAATCAGAAGAGCGGCATGACTGGCCCCCTCATGCTTTCCTGTGTGAGAGAGAGTAGCATACAAATATGAAGGAAACACGCCATTCTTGATCAGATTAGCCGTTGAATAAAACATTTTAGTTACTTTATTATGTTGTACGCTTAATACGTTGTTATCCAATGAGAAGATTTTGGTGGAGAATTTACCAGTCTTTTCCCAGAGAGAGAGGGAGAGAGATGGGTGAAAAGACGTTTTGCTTTGCGACTTGGAATGAAGAAGCATAATTTCATGCTATCGATGGTTCTATTCAACAACATGATATTCACGTTTTAAAAATGGGACAATTTCAACATAAAGAGGTTGACAGGACTCTGGAGGGAATTTACGTGGTTTAGTTTATTGGGTGGGGCTATTTCTTTCTCCCAATTTTTTTGTTTCTATCTTCTAAATTTATAAATTATAAAACTATTAAGTTCACCTTGTTATTCACTTCACTAATAACTAAGTTCACTATATTCTATACCCGTCATATTAATAACTAAACTAGCTTCAATTTTTATTTTTAAGATTTCTTTCTATATCTCATTTCATATAGTTTATACAAAATATAATCAATTGGATTATTTATTAAAATTAAATAAATAATTATGTATAAACTGTATGATTTAAAAAAGGAAGACTTGATCATCTTTTTTTTTTTCCTTTTCATTTTCAAGAAACTTAGCATCAGACGTGACATTTAACAAAGATTTCAAGAAATTTCTTTCTGTACATTGAGAAATTACATGTGAAGAAGATATTTTTTTCTGTGAATTCTTTCAACCGACAAACTAAGAAAGGAAGAAAAAGAAACCCGTAGTAAAACCGGACTATTATTCCAACGATGAAATTAGAGAAGATAGAAATCAGACGGTAATAGTTGAAGCAATTTAAATGAAAGAAACCCAGCAATTAAGTATATTTTGTGTATAGACTGTATGAGATGAGTATAGAAAGAAACTCTAAAAGTAAATATTGAGATAAATTTTGTTATTAATGAAGTGGCTATAAAATGAAATGAACTTAATTACTAGTACGGTGAATATAAAAAGGGTGAACTTAGTAGTTTTATAATTTATAGTTTAATAGGGTGAGAACTAAAATTTGTGGGGGTGAAAATAGTCTCACCTAGTTTATAAAAATCTATATTAACGGATTAAAGTTTGATAAGTTTTATTTTCTCATTAATTCTTGATAGTGAGTAAACATGAATTACACCCTATATAACAATTAAATTTCTCTTTGTGCTTCGGTCTATGAGACTTATATATAGGTCGACGATAACAACTAATTCCAACAATTATAGGGATTAATCAGATAAAAAAGAATTTCAAATTAATTTGGATTGAATTTATTGATCCCATCAGTTACGAGATTGCATATATTTGGTCCAGAACCGACTTAACAAAAATCAAAATCACCCTAAGCGATAATTTTAACAACATAATCCTTTTATTGCGCATTACAAATATATGAGAATAGTACATAAAAAAACATTTCTACTTTATTTAGAATAATTAAAGTAGGTTTCTTCGCAGTTTTCAAGTAAACAAAAGTAGAATTTTTGAAGTTTATCTAAGAAGGTTGCTCTGGTGTCGGCTACTTTTTTAGGCGTTATCCCTCAAGTTTGCTCAACTTTAATCAGAAGTGCGGCATGACTGACCCCCTCACCAGAGAGAGAGAGAGAGAGTAGCACACAAATATGATAATAACATGCTATTGATGGTTCTATTCAACAACATGCTATTCACGTTTTACAAATAGGACAACTCAACATTCAGAGGTTATATTTTTCATCAATCTTATGTCTGTCAAGATTTTTTATCATGTTTTTTGTTTGAATTGATGTGGAACAATTGTTACTATCAAAATAAATAAATTTTATTAATATTTAATTATGAAAATTATATCACGTCCTTTGAAATAAAAAAGTTGATAGACATACCAATACTGATTTTTCATTAATTTGCGAGAATAACAATCAAATTTCTCTTTGTACCCCAGTCGATTAGACTTACATTCAAGAACCAAAGTCTGATAGAATGGATACCAGTCCCACTTACATATTGTGCCATAAATTGACTGCTGCTTTTGCAGTGTCTCAGTCAATGTCGATCGAGAGAGAGAGAGAGAGCATGTTACATGTGTTTTGAACGAGAATATCCACAAATGGGAGGCAGCATATATCGGGTCTTAAGTCCTTTGCTTTTTATATGTATGCTAACAATAATTCTGAGGTTGAAATTAACCTGACAAAATGTAATACAATCTGATTACTTAACATAAAATTAATAGATTTAAGTTCTATTTTAACAAATTTAGGTGACAAACAGATTGAACCACCAAACTCTTTCTGTTACACGAGTTGTGTCTGAATAAAGTATATTAACCCGTTTAACCGTTTAAATTTTAAATAGGCATACATAACAATTGAACCTATAACTTGTTCAATTTTGATGCGCCAGGCCCAAATGGCTCAATTCATGTTGAAAAGTTCAATCTTATTCAAATAGTCTAACTCCAAGAGATCCACCAAGTTCAGCCTAATGAGATCAACCCGGTTAAGATTATTAAGCTCTAGGAGTTACATTAACAGGGAGCACATAAGGTCATCCAATGTCTCATCCTCGTCTCCTTGGAGAGAGTCAACCATCATCTCATCCTTTCACCGAGTCCTATGGAGAGTCTTGTCACCGCCTATGGAAAGTATTGTAACCGCCTCGCCTGTTGAGAAGAAGGCACCACCTTCGTCGGATCAGTTATTTGATTACTATTAAATTACCTCAATCCGTTATAACCGTCAGACTAACTATTCAATTATTATGCCTAATGAGCTGACTATAAATGGTAAGTCCCGCCAACACTTAAGGAGCAAATACACTCATTCAAGTATAATTCTCTCATCTTCTTCTCAAAGCTTGTAACTGTCTGCTCTCCCTACACACTTGAGTTAATAAAATACCGACAATCATTGCCATTCAAAGTGATCGTATTAATTTGTGCATCATCAAATTTTAATTTTAGAAGCTCATATTCCATTCTCAACCCAGCTCATCAGCCGCTCTGCACCTTTAGTAATTGGATTTTGTGTACAAATATTTTTTTGATAAACAGATCTATAATTGTGGTGAATGTAAGTGTTATTGTTTGAACTCAAAATTGACCCAAAATCACCCATTTATTTGATATATTTTACGGATAAAGGAAATTAGAGATAAATAAAGAAAGAGAGAAAATTAGAGATAACTAAAAGAAAGAGAAGAAAGAGATAGATATAAATTAACGAAATTGTTTGTTATTAAAGAGTTTATTTATTGAATAGTCAGGTATTAGGGACCATACAAAAAAGTTGATATTTGTGGGTGAGAAAAAAAAATTACACAATTGAATTAAAATAGATAAAAATTAAATTAATTTTAATTATTATTATAATTTTATAAATTAAAATTTTAATTTTTTTAACTGTAACATTAAATCAGTATAGAACTTGGCGGCGACAGGTTGTTTTTTTGTCATAAAGTCCCAACCGCCATCCCTATGACTCGAATACTTACCAACACGTTTTGCACGTTCTAAATAAGGGAGAAAGTTCTGACCCAAAAAAAATAAAATAAGGGAGATAGAATGGCTACCAAAACTATTTGTGTCGTGGACTTCAAAAACGTTCTAACTTCAAACCGTTGGATGGGACCGTTTGTTTTTTTCTTTTTTTCTTGTTTTTTTTTTTGGCTTGGGGAGTTTTTTTCCACAACACAGACGAAAAAAAATTGGTGGTTGGGCCGGCCGATTAACCAACTGTTCAGGCTTAATTTGGATGGGTTAAGTCTAACCAGTGTTTCAGCAAGTTGTGACGCTCTAAAATTTGGGGTCTTTTTTTAATTTATTGATTATCCATCAACTTGCAATAGTACTCGTAAAATGTTGCACAACTTGGCATCACGTCATAACATCCTCTTCATCAAGATTATAACCCATGCTAAGTTTGGTCGTATAAGTATAACTCGTACACATATCAATCATTTGACCATTTCAAGGGCCATTCCCATTAATTTGATCTTAGTGTTTATCAAATTACATCATCCTAACAAGAGGGTTCAAGATGTGAGAGTTATATTTAAATTTTTAAAATTTTAGAAGAAATACTGGTACCTCTTACACTTAGTATCGGTAATTTGTTCCTTTTCTCTGTCAGGACCTTTCCATTTGTCAGGTACTGATATTTGAGCCCACTGTTTTTTAGGTACCGGTACTTGAACCCATTGTTCATTGAGGTATCGATACCTTAACTCACTGAAATCCAGATATTGGTACCCATGCAATACATAAAATTTATAAAAAAAAATTGTCTTTCAAATCTCATTCTTGACCCCTCTCTCTCTCTCTTCCCTCTCTCCTACTTTATTAGAAATTAGGAAGAGAATTATAAAAATTATAGGAGTATAAAAATTAATTTTCAAAAAAATTGAATAAGTAGTGGATAGGTATTCAAGGGGTTTGTGGGCAGTTAATTGGGACACTTTATAAGAGAGTTTGTGAGTTGTTATTTATCCTTCAACATACATATTTCAACACTTCATCATATTGATGATGGTATAAATAGAAGAACTATATCAATACAATGACTGGAATGACTTCAATCTTTTGGTTTTTGGAGGAGTACAACACATTAACTATGTACTCTCTAATGCATTGCAATTAAATGACAATTACTCTTCAAAAAACATAAACAAATCTTGAAAAAAAAACATAAACTTTCGAAGAAAAAAAAACCCAATGGTGTGAAACAAAAGGTCGTGGGTCTTTATGATCATCATCATTTGAATACGTATCTCACTACTCCTGGAAAATGAGTGTTCATGAAATAGTCTTCCCAATCAATGCTCTTGGGGTCGAAATAGAATATGTTTGTCTCCATGTCACTCTCTGCTACCACCCTTCGTAATTTTTCGGTGTTCATGTCATCAAAGCTGTGTAGAAAGACAAGTTCATTGTTACAAATTTGTAAAACTTACCAACACATTAGATTCACATCAAATTTTTATCAATCCAAATCTGTGAATTGTGAAATCAAATCTACATTCGGTTCATACAACCGATGGATTTGATTTTCATAGTTTCATACCTATGTTTGTAAAAAAGTAGATGAATTTGAACCGATCGGATCCAATTTGAATAACTCAATTAAAAATGAGTTTTGGCAAATTAGATTTGAATTTTATCAAGTTTACTCAATCCAAATATGTGATATGTGACCAATCAGATCTAAATCAAAATTTAATCCACGATTGACCTATATATACGAACTAAGTGAACTTTTCTTTTGTAAACATTAATAGAAAATTGTACTTACACGCCCTTAAAGAATATGTAGGGCCCATAGAGTTCAATCAACCGAAAAACATGATTAACCCTTCGTCGAAGATCAAGGTGCATGTCACGAAAAAACTGGCAAAATGCCGTATTCACTATTTGTAATCCCTGAAAAATATTAGAGAAGAAAAAAAATAAGATGGCGTCAGTGTTTGTAACAGTGAGGAGAGACTCAAAGCTGGAGTGCAATTAAAGCGTGGCATAAAAATTTTAAAACAAATGTGATTGTCAAACGTCAAACGTGCACACACACACACTTCCCCCCCCCCCCCCCCCCCCCCCCCCCACCACAAAAAAAAATTGTTTCTTCTTATTTTCGTCTTCTGCTACCATCAATATTCATATGATCGAGGACAATCACTAGTCGCAAATAATTGGGTAATAATATTATGATGATTTGAAAACAAACCTTCAAGGGAAGCAAGTAATGAATTGCCATGTATCTGTGGAAGCTGGCCACAGTGCTCAACACTTTAATCTTGCCTACTATGACAGGCTTTCCTTCCTTATTGATCCATGGATTCTTCTGGAAGTAACGAACGCCATAATCTTGAAATTTAGAGATTATGATAGGGTTTCCTACTGAAGAACCCACTTGGTAAATGCTCATATCAGGTTGATTTGCATGGGCCACCATTGAAACTATCATAGCATTGACCACCATATCTGCTGGAATCTGCATGATCTCTAAATTAAAATTCATATTTTAACAACCTAAAAGGACCCCCAAAAAAAAAGCCGACTAGATGCATGAGACTCCCACTACTACAGGGTTTAGGGAAGGTCAAATGTACTCAGTTTTATCCGCACATGAGCATATTACACAAAAATATAGTTGATCATATTCAAATGTACATGTACTTAGGAGCACTTGTATATTTATGCACATATGCATGTTCAACTCAAGTGTGCCATGTTGGTGTTTGATTCACGGTGATGTTATAAATCCACAAGAATAACATTATAAATGGAAAAGAAGTGCAAGAATTAATAAATGAATAAATTGAATAAATATATTCCTGAGAGATAAGCGGATATAGAAAGCTATGTTTCTTCTGATATCTAACTAGCTCGAAATATCTTTGAAATTCCTTCACTTAAAATTATATTTGAACCAAGGATGACAGATACAAAATGATACATTTTGCAATACAACCAAAGCATCGGTCATATTTAAGTTAAAAAAAAAAAAAGAATAAATACACAAATAAAGTTATCAACAGATCTCTTTTTCCATTTCATTTAATCAGTTTATGTTCATTATAGGATTACAAGTTGGTCAGAAATCTTTCATTTTTTCGAACCGAATCAATATTTCATTTTTTCTTTTTGAAAAGAAATTTCTTCTGCACACAATTCTCCATTTCCATGCATCCAACTTTTGTATCGAAAAATAGTTTTTAGGCATCGTATTTTCACTTTTCATCCAATAAGAGCATGACATGTGTATTTTTTTCAATTTTGATATTTTAGATCCCTATTCCATAATCGAAAGGAACATTTTAATTGAAGGAGAAACTGAGGAAACTCACCACATCAAGTATGTTATCAGGGTGACCAAGGAAGCATGTTATTCTTCCCTTCCCATAACCAACAACCAAGCTATCAATGGTTCTGTAAACATAGCAGGAAGAAAAAAAAATCATCACTGTGTCATTTTGATAGCTATATAATTTTATTATTATTTTTTTTTATTTTAGCTGATAGCTATATAAGAAAAGGAATTCAAAATAATAGAAATCTTGCAATTTTAACACCATATACTCTTTAAAATCCCCAGTTTTAACTAATAAATTAAAACTATTTCAAAAAATATAATTTTTTTCGTACGTAATTTGATGTCGAAAACTATTTCATGTTGTTATGCCATCATAGTAAGTAAATGAGGATTGTTGTGAATTACCTGACCCCTTCAACCCAACCAGGAAATGGCTCTTTGTATGTGCTGCTTACAATGGTCGGACGAAAGATAACTAGGGGTAAATTTTCTTTCGAGTGCGCCAGGAGCATCTCTCCCATTGCCTTTGTAAATACATAGGTGTTTGGCCATCCATACTTCCTTGCCCTATACAATTAAAAAAATCAGTATCACAAATGATCTGCTACTGTCAATTGATAAATATGTAATATGTTTAGAGTTATAGTTAGGGACTTGACAAGGGTACCAACAGAAAGTTTTCGGTACCATACCTTGAAATTTTACTATTTCAAAGGACATTTCTATAACTTTTGTGATTCATTATATAACTTAAAATTTTATCAAATTTTTAAGTAATTTATCACTTTTGTAGGTATTTTTATCACTATTGTGGATGTTTTTACCACTGTTGTGATAACTGTTTTTACAATTTTTATTCAGTATACAAAAAATACCATTTTTGTGAGTGATTTATCACATTTGTGAGTCTTTTTATCACTGTTGTGAGTGTTTATCACAACAAAAATAAAAATATTCACAAATATAATAAATTTCGATACTGTACCGACTTCCATTTTTCTGTACCCAAGTCAAATTCTAAAGTTAGACAATGATGGATTAAAAATCATACACCTCTCTCTCATGGGCCAGCACAAAACAAACACAGTTGCACACACAGTTTATAAGAGAATGCCCAAAAACCATAAGACCAACCTTTGGATTCCTAAATCCTTCATGGCAGAGGTAATTGCTTGCTCCGAAGCCTTTTCAAGTTGGAGCTCGTTTAGTCTTTCTTCCACTACTTTCTCCTCTGCATCAATGTCAAGTCCAGGTGTCCCGTTCAGTGTCTCACCTAGCTTGTATGGGTTTTCCAGTATCAACCCCGCCTTTTCACCGCACACATAAGCTGAAAACACACACACACACACACAATCTCTAACACTGATGATTGGGAAGACTAATCCAGTGGGTTAATAATTAAAATAAATAATTAGCTCTAAATCAAATCTTAACACACACACAAAACATATCTATGTACTTGGGTATATACTCTGTGTAAAGCACCTTTTTTACCATGGTTAATATATGAATGAATGAATGGTTAAAATATAAGTGGGTGAGTATAACATGTTTACATGATTTACTAACTTAATGAATCACAATTATGAAATATGTAATAAGTCTCAATAAATACTGAAACTCACTATTAAATCAATAACAGTGATCGATTAAGTCAACATTTTCAGTTAATGTAACATTGCTCTAAAAAGTAAGTATGATAAACATGTTTAGAGTAATGAAAAGATTAAAGGTATATAGGTAGATCTACTACAATCAAAAGATTAAAATTTAACAAGTAAGATAAATTGTTGAGTTGAATTTAAGCGACCTGAGCCGTTGTTGTGTTTTATGCATGCAGGGTGATTATATAGATATAGCGGTTATATATGAAGCATATTAATGTTAAGGAACAATACTAACCAGTTGAGACATGGAGAAGCAAGTTTAAGTTAACACACTTTTTGGCGAAGTTCAGAACATGCCTAGCTCCTATTGTATTGATTCTTAGTGAAACATCATATCTGCATAACATAAATTTGAAAGGAACATTAAATAAATCTATCTTATGTTAAGATAAACTAGATTCTGGTAGCCCCACATGAACATACCTTTCATCAAAGTTGGTTGTTGCAGCTAGGTTAACCACCACCTCTACTTCTCTCCACGTCTCTTCCAACAAAGTAGAGTCCTTTATCCCCAAATTCTCAAAGGTAATGTCACCGGGGACCAGATTGACTTTTTGTGAGATTAGGGTATTTAGATTTCCACCCCATTTGTCTTTTAAAACTTTAAACAGGTCCTTCCCTACCACCTAAATGAATAGAAGAGCTAGTCATTATCTATAATATCTGTCATCATCAGTATATTAAGTGCACATGAAAGTGAAAATAAAACTTTGATCTCTCTCTGTCTTTGTGTGTGTATATATAAACACACACACATACACGTGTGTGTGGGTCTATATATATATACACGTTGAATATACCCATTTGTCTACAATTAATGTGATTTTTTTCTAAAGAGTCCTTAAACTTTTTCTCATGTTTTAAAATTGTCTCTGAATTTTCAATTGTATCAATTTAGTCAATAAATTATCAATTTCGTATCAATTAAGTATTTTCGTCAATTTCAATTGTTAGAACAAATGAAAGCATATTATGTGGACGGCTACACGTGGATTTTGACTACGCTTGTTTTAGTAGTTGAAATGGATGGAAGAATTTTATTAACACAAAATTTATAGTTCATGGACTAAATTGAGACAATTAAAAACTCAAATATCATTTTAAAACATTTTGCAAAGTTTAAAGAATAATTATGATATTTACCCTTCTCTTAATGCACTTTTGTGGATTCAAATCGTCCACAAAAGAGCCATGCAAGGGGTGCAGTTTAGATATTTCGACAAGTTTGTGGATTCACCACCTGTTTGCCTGCCAAGAAAAGAAAAGAAAACTGCACGATATGCACACAACAACAGTGGGTGGCTGCTGTATTATCTCACCTCACTGTTAAAACGTTGCAAAGCTGACTTGTTATCTGCAGCTCTTAGAAGAAGATACAGCTTCTTCACATTTGGTTGAACCCTAAGTATCTTCTCCACAAATACTATATCAGCAGAAGCAAAGTCATCAAACTTACATGCAAAAAATTATGTGTGTGTGTGTGTGAGAGAGAGAGAGAGAGAGGGAGAGAGAGCATACTCTTTGCCAGGAAACCAGTGGCACCAGTGACTAAAATGGACCTGTTCTCTAAGAACTTGACAATGCTACCCAATTCCATTGGCGAAGAACAATGACAAAGGAGAGAGACCGAGTATGATAGAAAAGGAGGGAGAGACTTTTAGAAGTAGAACAAAAGAAACCCACCGAGAACAAGGATGGATCAATGTAGTGCATTTCACATATATATAGAGGAAGGGCTCGAACTGATATAAATGATGAAGTGCACGTAACTAGCTGTTGTTTTTTTTTTTTGTAGATTGAGAATCATGTTTAGTTTATAATTAATTTTTAATATTTGTCGATGGAAGCAACATAGATGACTCATTCCTTACCCAAAAAATAAAAACCATAGAAGCCTCATCAACAGCTTTGCCTTTGTGCTTTTGTTTTTTGCCAGAAGGGGGAGGAGGGGGGCATGGAGATACTTTAGGTGTTTGTTAATGGAGCTGAGTTTTTTGTACTTGAGTATATCTAACTTTGTTTTTATTATGATTAGCAGAACTTGAACTCCCATAATGAGTTTTTAACTCTTTCTTTAAGTTTGGCTTGGAAGTTAGTTGGAGGTATTCTAAGTTAAATTCGACTCGAAATCAATCTCAAATTTTCAACAATTTTTTTTGAAAATTAAACACTAAAACCTAATTATAGACCCTAAAATAATTTTTCAAAATTTATATAACTATAAAATCAAACCCGAAAATTGTGGGGGAAAAAAAACAATAGGACAAAAAGGTCAGGAGTGAATTGTACATTAACTGGAGCTATTTGAAAAAAAAAAATTAGAATTGTTCGTGTTTTAAATGGAGTTTATTTAAGTATGAATTTAGAATTGTTTGACCATAGATTTAGAATTATTTTAGCTGATCCTACCCAAGTAAAACCACACATAATTTCCTCGAATTCGGATTAAAAATTTGATCAAATTCAATTTATTTTACAATTTGAATTAACCTAAATGAGCCATAATTGACTCAAATCCCCTCTTGGAAAGAGGAATAGATTTATTTGATTAATTAACATCTGATAATATATTTATTCTTGCATGTTATAAATCGGTTGGATAATGTTAATCAATTTCATTCAACTATATAAGACGGGTCGGGTTGGGTCGGGTCAAATATGGGTATTTATCTATTAAACTTGTATTTGGGTAGGTAATGACTAAATGATACTACAAAATCTCATGTTCTTGTTGGGAGATTCAGCCAAACAATTTGTCGGTGAAAGATGACCCACCAACTGCGATAAGAACAAGTTTTGTGTAATCTTCTTGAAAATAGTATGTCTTTTAAGACATAGAGACAACTATTTTCTGCAACCTTTCTGGCATAACATTCATGACTTAGGGTCAATGTTAGCTACCAATGTTACCTATCAATGCTTTTTGTTTGATCTAAATCGAAATTCGATTTAAAAACTCATAACTCAATACGATCAGAATATTTGGTAGATTTTATTTCTATAGTTTATATATATATATAAAACTCTTAACAAATTTAAAATCGGATGAATTAAAACAAGGCATTTGGAATTAGATTTTAGCAAATTACACGTAAAATTTAGCTTGATGCTAGCAAATAATCACACAATTTTTAGTATGTATTTATAAGTAGTTTAGATCAAATTAATAACAATCGAAATGGATTTGGTATATTTATGTGAATATGATACAATAAATCAGAATTTTGAGGGGCTCAAAATATAAATGGTGGTAGTTGAAGTAAACAACACAGATGACCGACTCTTTGTTGGTGTGTGCATTTGCACTAAGGGACGTCATAGGTGTTTCAATTGTAGACACGAAAGATTTACTGGCATACGGTACAAACTTAAAAATAGTACAGTCTATTAACATGAATATCAAATGAGTCGGGTTATAGTTAAATCCGATAACTCAATTTTCACATGATAAATTCGTTTAATTGATATTATATAATTAAAAGAATGCACTAACTCGTAAACGTTATAAATGGGTTGAATGATATTAATGAACTTTATTAAACGGGCTAAGATGGATGAAAAATTGTGTATTGGCGGTGGACATTATATGTGCGTATGGAAGTTGGAACACTCAACCCTACCATAGCAGAATCATGGCTATGAATTCTAAAATTATTACATAGTACACAAAAATGTGGATTAACTAATTTTGCCCATTTCTTAATTACCCGATTCATTGTGATCCATTTATTAAGCGAGTTAAAAACTGCTTGGTGTTGTTTTACATCCAGTCCGTTCTTGACCCACCTAAAACCTGTCTAACCCGACCTTTTGCCTCTGCTATTGTAGGTATGGAAATGTTTCTTACCTAAATCTCCTGTTAGAAGCTTACTGATTACCTACCGTAGTAAATTTGGACTTCTGATCTATGTGCCCCGGCCCCAAGATGTTTCTGGTCCCTCAACTCAATCCTCCTGAACCTCCCACAATGATATATATATATATATAATATGCATGCAAATGAGCAATATTACTTAGATTTAACAAATAAGCATATACTAAGGTAACCGTAGTATAGTACCAACCCATCAACCGTAGTAGTACGTTGTATCTCCGAATAATATTCATAAAATATTATTGTAGGTGAGTATGTCAAAAGTCTAAACGCATCCAAGGATGCGTGACTGATCTTGCATTGTAACGTACGTGTGTATGAGAGAGAGAGAGAGAGAGAGAGAGAGAAATGTCTGATTGACCTAATTTACTATGTAAACTGAAAGTACTCTTAGGACTCTATAATCCAGCTTCCACTTTAATTCTATATACTCAAGTACTTAATTTACATTCCACAAAAGAACAGTTTTATTTAGAACACAAATCTGGCTACATTTTAATAGAATAGATCAAGTGCATAGTTAGAAAAACAAGTTGGTATTGCTGATACAACAATTTCCAACAGATATTTTGGTTGGTTCTGATGAACACCAAAGGTAAACTAATTCCTTTATGTAGACTTTTAGGTGTTTCCAGCTAGCTAATACAATGGTATTAGTTGAAGGTCGTCTTTTTTGTCATAGCTCTTGTCTAAAAGGGAAGAATATTATTATATTATAGAACCCAAAGTTAGATTACAGAATCCAACCCATGCCGGAAGAATCTAGTCAAAATTATCAACACTGACAAGAAAGCTCGGTGACGATGAAGGGTTGTGACGATAAAGCATGGCGATGAGTATAAGGGATTGAAGGCTTGCGTCTGCCAAATAGTTATGTCACTGATGACCAAAAGATCCAAGAATACCCAACCCCCAACCCCCCAAAAAAACAGAAAATAAAAAAAATAATAATAATAAATACAAAAAGTGCGTTCAATAGTTGGATCAGATCGGTGATCCACTATCGAAAAAAGTGATGTAGAATGTATTAGAGGAGATACAGATCCGATAGAAAGCAACAAACATTAAATAATTGATCTTCTCAAGGTAACTCTAAATTGCAGCGCTTGACATTGTCATGTCTGTGGTGGTGACTGTTGATAGTCATTATCATGATTAATTAAGTTGGTTATACCTTAACTTCAAAGATTTGATGATTAAATTATCTTGGTTTTTAAACTTTTATTTTCACTATACTTTTCTTAATTTTGAACTTATTGCCTAAATTATCACCCTTTAATCATGTCAATTTTGTGTTATTTATTTTATTATTCATGTCATATCATATACGGGATCTTGTCAATTCTAGCCCATTAATTTCTTGTCGAATTTAAGTGTTGCGTCAAAAATTATCTGCCCCTAATCTTGTCATCCTTGTGTCCCATGTTTCCAAAAACAGTTTGTTTGCCTCACTGGTGAATCGTAATTTAATCACATTAGGTGAGCAGTTCCTGTTGGAATTTGGTGGGTACAGTTGCCCTAAATAGCAACCCACAGGAATAGAAACATATTGATATATACATTAGTCTATTCCACCCCCACCATCGTACTACAAAGTAGGTTTCAATTTTGTAGTCTTCTTTGTGCTTTCAAGATCTTGTTGGCAAGAAAAAGATTTGATTTGCTGAAAGAACAAAAAAAATTTTTACAGGTTATTCAGGCTTACACCGACTACTTACTCGAGTTCTAGGTCAACCACCGTAACTCGAGTTAATTTAAGAACACATCCCCTAAAGAACAAGGGTGACTAACCCTTAAAATGTATGAAAAATATTGAATTTAAGACCTCTAACTTGTAAGAGAATTTACTTGACCTCAAAGGTATTTATTTAAGTAAGGATTTATTCTTTTGCTATTAGGAGTCAAAACATTGAACCTAAAAGGAAAATATCTTTATAATTTTATAAGAAAGCGTAAATTAAATGGGCTCGTTTGAAGGGAAATTGGTTTGTTACGAAAAAAGATAAGACTTTCCTTCGACTATGAGCTGTTGAAGTGAAACAAATGATTAAATTTGTCTCAGACCAGAAGTAGGATGAGAGATTTACTACGACGACCTCAATATATTCTTTTAAACCACATCCAACTACTCAATCAAGAAAGGCTCGAACCAAACCACCCACCCCACTTTCGAAGATGACGGAGACTTTGCTTGACGTCTAGTTCTGAAAATCTAATCCCAACGTAACTTGGCCAATGCATTTGAGTATTTGCCATGGAAGCAAGCCATCTAGTAGTTGCTGCTTTTACAAAGTCAGTCATATGCCTGAGGATCATCCGATGCAGGCCCCAAAATTTGAATTTAATTTAAAAACTTCAATCCGAATACACAACATGACTCATTTCACCATTCATATCTTTATCGGTAAAAAAAAAAAAAACAATCCAAATAACTCAATTAAACTAAATTTTCAAAAATTATATCCAATTGATTTATCCAAATTCAGATCAAAATCTAATCTATTGACAAGTCTATTCATTAGCGAACAAGACAAGATGTTGCAAAACGAAATAAAGAATATTAGACGAAGGACTAACAAATTTAAGCCACTGGGTCCAATTATGGTAGTTAGATTCACTAACATATATTGATGACTTACTTCAAGCTTTATTAACTGTAAAACAAGCAAAACTCAGTGCAAGAGAACTTCTAAAACATCTTATCTTAAAGGAAATGACAAAATAAAACAAACACAATGATATAACGTGGTTCGATTCTAACATTCATATCATACAAAATCCAAAACACAACATTGGTATTGCTCTCTAGATAATATATTACATGAACTATATACCAAAACTTATAGGTCAATGATATATGTACATCATGTGTTCAAACAAAAATGCAATAAACAACCACAATCATGGGTATTCAATTAAGATTGTGAATTAGGTATCTGGCATTCTCAATAGTCTCATGATTGATGAGATTAACAACATGAAATCCCATATTGGCAAGTTCAATACCAAACTTACCATTTGTACCATCCTGAAAAGTCTGATAAGCTATATAAACTTGAGCTTCATGTTAAATAAGAAGAATTAACCAAGTTATCATATTTCTTTATGCCAATTTCTACACCTCTTAATTCAATTTGTCAAAGTCGAGTGCAGAAGAGAAATTATGCATAACTTTGGTCGACTGGCTCAAAGGCTAGTTGACTAATTCTATTGCAGAACACCCCCATTTTAATTTTTGGTTTTGTGTTTCAATTTTATTAATACATCCACCAAGTCAGAATCTACTGATTCTTATCTCTCTCTAAGAAGTGAATTCATATGTAATAACATCAATCTAATTGAGCAGTCAATATTTCAATCATGCTTTGATCTATCAACAATTCACCAATTTCACCGATCAGAATAATTCATATGCTGCATGTGCATGCGATCCAATGTACTTCGTATTTGAATAAGAAGTAAAGCATGCAAGAAAATATTGAAGAAAATACCACACCTCCTATCCTATAAACATACGACATATAATAGTTTGGCTGACCTCGGCCTACATCAAGTTTTCAAACCACCTTACTTGAGCTTCAATCCACAAGCAATGGTTTTCTAGGCTAACCCAACAACCATATGGTTCCAAATGGTCAAACAACTAGTCAACCTAGAAATACTCTTATCTGGGATTTGTACAAGTATTCCTAGAGTATCTTTTTAATCTACCTAGAGAGCTCTTGCAAGACGGCACTCAACCAGGAAACATGGGACTAGCTTGACAACCCACCTAATGAATCTGGCTGGTGACGTTTTCCCTTAAACAAACCTACAAACAAGAAACAAAAAAGGTTTTTCTTAAAGCTTACCCAAAAATTTGAAGCCACTATAACACAAATAATGAAATATAAGTTCACTTTAAATCAAGCCTTCCCACAAGCAATTCACACAAGGAGTTATAACCTAACCTTGAGTCAAGCGCCTGTGTGAGTAGAGGTCCATGTGTGTCCAAATACGCAAAGGGAAGTAATAACTCTTCAATAAAAGAATGGCTACACATTGACAATTTTATTCTTCAAAATACTTGAGCTTATGGGACTTTAGATGATGAAAACATGATGTAAAATGCATTCTAAAGCTTTTTTAATCTCTCTTGGTTGCTCTCTAATGTGAACTAGTGATTTAGGATCTCAAAACATCAAGTTTCCACTAAAAACTGTATATGTGTGTAATTGAGCAACGTCTTAAATATGGATAGCTTTTGTCAAATTTGGACACCAGAGTGAACTAGGTAACTCCAATTCAGTTTAGCAGACTGCTATGCCTAATCAATTTTTTTTGCTCCCTACATAATACCAATTAGTCTGCAGTGTTTAGTTTCAAGTTTCAACTATCTAAGAACCTCACAAATTCTTCAAGCTGTCTCCAATCAGATAGATGGATTTGGTTCCATTTGCATATATGGAATCATAATGGTTTAACATTTGATTGCTGAACGATTTCACACTTTGTCACTTTGAATTTCCATTTCAACTAGACACTAACATAGATATCAAGACCTTGTAAATCCGGGATCCCAAGCTACCCTAGAACTAATTCCCACAATGCTAGATCATCACCTATCATCAAATAGAACTCATTGTATTCAAGTAGATCCTGCATCAATATACGATTTCAACTACACCAGAGACCCATGTTTGGCTAGTTGGACAGTCCAGGATTGAGCTTCCTGTTCCATCAGAAAACAAAATTCTAACCCTGGGGAAGCAAGCCCTTGTCATAGGAGGGTCTGCACTTGCGTAATTAAAGAAATGGTAGACAGCATAGTTTGGGAACATCATGGACCAAGTATGGGAGCACAAGAAAACGTGTAGATAGTCTAGTGTCTTTTTTAGACATTTTCCCATATTTGAGGAAGCCTATCCCTATTTAGCACCATTCCACAAGAGAGATCTTGAAAAAAAAGTCACAGCACCACCAAATTGTTTCAATGATACAGATACGCTATCCTCATCTTTCATTTTTCAATTAGTTAACCAGGTCTCATATAATTACACAGGTGAGAATTCAAAATCAATTAAGCTTTCCAAGCAAGTCCCCAATGCAAAGTGAATTATGATTCAAATTGATTCATAAAAACAAAAATACCCATATAAGAAATATCTTAACAACCCTATCGGAAAAAGGCAATCTAATTTACACAATCTAAACTGACAACTTGATTACAGTGAACTATAAATGGCGGAAAGAAATTAAAATTTTTTACTGATTGGAAAAGAAAATTAGAATGTTTTGTCACATACCCTGAAACTGCTTCAAATTGATGTGCCAGAGAAATACAAAAATAAATCTTCAAAAGTGAGATGTTTTGCTGCAGCACTTGGGGCTAGGAATTCTTTACAGGATGGAAGCCGAGCACTGAGCGATGGATCAACAGGGTTAGTACTTGCTATATCCAATTATCACCTCTTAACATAAAAAGATGCAAAATTCAAGAACCTGCCTCCTTTGCAGGTGGCACCAGATTCAGTTTATCTGTTGGTTCCAAATTCACTTGATCTGTGATTAGCGGGTTGTATTGTGTTTGATCTGTTGTTTGCAAGGCAGAACCCACTGGATCAGTTGCTCGCGTGGTACAATCCATTTGATCTATGGTTGGCATCGCAGATGGAATTTCATCTGTTGCTGGCAGATTGCAGTCTGTTAGATTTGTTGCTGGTGGTGCCAAATTCATTTGTTCAGTCATACGAATGGTGGAGTCCATTTGACCTGGTTCTGGCACCGTTGCTATTGCAGGTGTAAGCTGATTTTGTTCTTGATTTGTTTCTGTTATTTCATATTCAGAGAGGAGATCCATAAACTCATTGAGCAACCGCTGAACTTTTCTGTTAGTAGCCATTGCTGGAAGAATATCTTCCCTAAGGAGTTTGTGCTTTTTCATTCCCTGCAGAGGCCCAGATAAATAAATTTCAGTAGACTCTCGGGCAAATGACATATAAACATTGTAAGCAGAAGAGGAATTAACAAAGAAGAGAAACAAAACAAAGGAGAATGTATCACTAAGATGACATGACTGAATACAAACAACTTGAAGATTGAGGAAGTATCCCAAAATGCAGTATTTTTAAGTTTTAACTTTTAAGCAATTGGTGACTGGGGAAAGAAGGAAAATAATGGGCGTGTTTGGATTGCGCCTCCGAAAACAATATCCAAAAACATGTTTTTGAGAATAGTTTTAGAAAGTGTGTTTTAGTATTTTTATATCGGAAAACTTGTTTGATTATATGATTTCAAAAATAATTCTACGGAACATAAAACAATAGAACTTGTTTGGATCGAGTGTTTCATATCAAACATTTTCAATATATTAAACTTGATAAAATACAAAAAAAAATGGCAAAAAAAAAAAAGAAAATTTCAGCAACATCTGAGATCAGTTTCAGCCAGATTCGACATCAGTTTCCCTCGCACCACCTCTAATCCTTCATGTCCACTACAGATCTAAAGCAGATCTGAAGTAGAAGTGAAGCAATCGTCGAGAAAAAACATATCTGAAGTTGATCCGAAGTACATCATGTGGAAAAAATCAAGATCCAGTCGTCAGAAAAAAATCAAGAGCTTTGGTTTTGTTGGAGAGCTCACAGTCATCTGAGACTAGGACCGCAGAAGACCCTTTCGCCAGAGAAGATGCTGTGTGTTTGTGTGTGATCGTTCCGTCTGAGAGCCAAAGTGAAGAGAGAGAAAGTCGGGAAGAGTGAGAGTCTGGGAGAGAGAGAGAGGCAAAAAAAAACTTTTATACAAGGACTTATTTTGCTACTAAAAAGGTTAGAAGGAGAGACCTCATTAAAGGTCAGTTGTTCTCCGTGTTTTCTAATTTTTCATTCTTGTCTCCAAAACATCTTTTGGCTATTCCCAAAAATCAGTCTTTTGTTCTCCATTTTTTTTCAAAATTGTTCCCGAAAATTTCTGTCCAAACATATTTTCACTAATTTTTTGTATCACAAAACGAGAAACATCTTTTTAAGATACAATCCAAATAGACCCAATATTTTGCAACAACATGATCCATACATTCCGAAAAGAGGAAAAAAAATCGAGTTTCAAGTTAAAAATAGAGTTTCCAGTTAAAACAGGAAAAAAGTTAAAAGTTGATCGTCGACACCTAGCACACCAGAGAAAGGGCCTCACTCTATCCACAAAGTTGCAAAAACTTTTTGTGTGTAACACGAGGGCAGAGAATGAAGTGTCTCTGCCACATATTATATTTGATATATAACTTCATTACTACAATATCTATGCCAAAAAGAAGTGGACGAAAAACTAGAAAGCACAGATATGGATATGGGTGTCATATCCGATATGATACGGACACACGGATACGACAAAATTTAAAAATATAAGACACGGGTACGACAAGGATATGGCTTAATTAAAATAATATTGCATATTTTTTATATAAATAACATTAATAATAAGGCCTAGAAATCATTGAGTAGAGTAATATTAAATTGAGCAATGGACTAGTACTTTAGAATTGGATAGTGGGCTAACACCAAATTGGACTATAGGCGAACACAGAAGTTAGGCGGTGGGTTAATTTATTTGACAATTAATAAATAAATTATACCAAAAAATAAGAGAAAATATTAATAAAAGAATATGTTTCTATGTTCGGTCGAGAGAGAAAGAGAGAGAAGAAAAAGAAATAGAAAAGAAGGCAGAAGACATTGACTCAGGATGCATCTAGGGCACCAACAAAGAGGAAAAAGAAAAAGAAAAGAAGGCAAAAGGCACTGACTCCAGATGCAGCTAGAGCACCGACTCAGGAAGAATGCAACGATCTCAGCAAGAAGAAGGAAAGAAGGAAGAAGGCAGATTGCAAGCTGATCGTTGAAGAAGGTATGTCTCTTCACCTTTTCTTTGCCTAACATCTCTCTTTCTCTCTTCTTCTATACTCTTTGTTTTGTCAACGATCTTTCCTTTTCTTTTCTTTTCTTTTCTTTTCTTTTTTAGCCCCTTATTCCCTGTATCCCCCTATATCCCCCACGTATTCGAGTCGTATCCAGTTTCAAAAAATCCTTGTGCATTGTTTAGGACAACTATAGAATGTCCGACACTACCCCGTTGACCTCCGGCAAAGTGTGCATGCTTCCTGGATGAAGAATGTCCACAAAATCGACCATCTCCTTCACACTGGCAGTTGGGGCATCTAATTGAGCATCCATTCTCCTTCAAATCATCACACTCTAGGAAGCTTTAAGATGAAAAAATGGGTGCATGTACTCTTTATAGAGGAAACACATAGGGTCTGATTTGTGAGTACCTTTTTCCTTAGCACAACCCAAGCATTATAGAAAACTACTCTTTGCCTTATCTAATGTCACATGACACAATAATCGGGTCAAAATAACTGACAGGAGAGAGGAGCAATACCTAACTGCCGCAAATAAAGTACTTGGGTGAGCAATATTCGCTCTTTGATTCTGTTAGTGACAACTGGCCTTCTATGATAAAGGAGGTACTTGATTCGTTTTGAAGTGTCCACAATAAACAGTTTCGGAAAATTATGAAGCTTTTAAAAATTAACTCATAACAAAAAGGAAAAAAGTAATACCAATATGTAATATGGGTACGAGTATGACACTTCCTTAGGTACGCATTACGATGAAGGAAGACTTAGTTTGGGCCATAATTCATTTTAAAACTCTAATATAGATAGTTTTCATTACTATACAACATTATATATCATAGAAAATTCATAAACACCAAGTCAAATACCATTTAACTTAGATTTGTGCTCGATTTTTATTATCTAAACAATATATAATTAGAAATCTATATATATGTAGTCAATTAATATGTGTTTTATACATGTGTTATATGTTCCAAAGCGAATCAATTTCGGGTTCGTATTACAATTTGGAGTCGTACATTTTAGTGATCTGAATCGGGAACCCACCCTGTTTGAAATCGATGTACCCAAATCATGGGTCGTCAGTGATTTAGTAAATTCTGGTAACTATGAGCAAGCCATTAATGACGACAATCATTTCCACCAACCAATGAAAATGATCATTGACAAAAGATGTGTATAAACTAATGCAAGTGTTGGGATATCATTGAGGGGAGCAAGAAGTCCTAATTTGAGACATGTTAATAAAATAGATAGAAATGGAGGACCATGGCACTTAAGTAGGTCATGGCAAGCAATTCATTAGGAAAGATGCTGGAAGAGATCTGGATTATATCATCCAAAAAAAACATGTGGCACATAAAAAGAGAGTAAAAGAAGCCTTACAAGAACACAAGGGTCCCATGCTGGATTCCTTGGATCCGAGAATGTAGATTCAGTCATCCCAGTTGGAGGTCCAAGAAAGCTTTCACAAACTTCTCGTAAGCGGGATTCATCTGCTTCTCTGCAGTTCAAGGAATTAAATGAACAAATATTCTGAAAAAGCAATGGAAGTTGCAGTCTTTTACAACTCACTCGAACTTATAATGACTGGAAAAAAAAGTTCCAGTGTCCATTTTTTCAGCAAAGAAGCTTTTTACAATAACTAAAATACAATGTTTTGTGACCCAACGAGCCCGGTCAGTATAGGAACCAGGCCATTTTACAATTCTTTAACCTCCCCCCCCCCCCAAAAAAAAAAAAAAAAACAACACACACACACACACACAATATATACACATAAGCCATCCAGTTTGGTTAAAAAATCCAGTTTACCCTGTGAATGGTCCTACAAGTTCTCCAATCAAACAAGCAGGGCAAGTTTATCACCTAATGTACTCCAATTAGGGCTCTGGTTCACTGTGGACTTCCAATAATTAGGTTTTGTCTCAGCTCTGAGCCTCCACCTGTAACACACCGGAAACCATCTAAAGGCCGATGCAGGCCACCAGCGACTGGCAACCACCTAAAGATGACACTGGCCACCAGCCCTTACCTCTTCTCTGTTTCTCCCTTACCCCTTTTAAGTTTCTTAGGATCACCTAATGTTTTGCTTCAGAATTAGTTTTTCCACTTGTCCTCCTATCAAAACCTTTGATTAGGGTTTCAAGTTTTGCCACCCCGATTTTTGGAAAAAACTGCTAGCGCTCCAAGTGGGTATATCAAATTCTGCTATAATCAACAAGTGATAGGTAAAAAGGTCCCATCCATCAAGTCTCAAGTCCTAATGAATTCTTAATTCATCCATTGGATTCCTGCTTTTGAGTTTTGATGCACTTTAGCTCATGATTTTTTGATTGATAATTCTTAAGTCTTGTGCTTAAATTAAAAGATTGTCTCAACTCTCAAGACCTATTTCTTTTTTGCTCCACTATTTTTATTCCCATCTGAAATATCTATGAAAACCATATTTCTTCATTCCCTGATCCCTATTATCTTCTTGTTAGTTGTTTCATTTGGTTTTTCTCAAATTTTGCCCACAAGGATTCCTCATCCTTCCATGCCCTTGATATCTTTATTCTTCCACCATTATAGTTTTCTCTTTCTTTTTTCAGGAAAAAATGAAAATGATACATGCTGAACCTTGTCCTGTAACTTACGGAATTGATTTTTAATAAAAAAAACTCCCTTCCTTCCTCTATCTCTCTTGAGTTCTATTGTACCCCTGAAATCACCAAATTTCACTATAACTCGGCTGCCACTCCAGTGTAAGCTATATCAATTGTCACATTTATTCCACTCACTATTCTAAATAGGGGCTCCCAGAAGCAATTTACAAATAGGATTCACAGGTCTACTGTGAACGGTCTAAACTTCAACCCTTCTTTCTTTTAGCTTTCTCCTAACAAAGCCCTAAGAAAAATCACAAGTCTCGTGGAGGACATTAATCTCACTGGTCGCAGTCTCAAAATGGAGGTTTCCAGCCTTTAAGGTGGCACAGGAGACATTTTTTAGGGACAATTTTTGCAAGCCCCGACTCCTAATCAAAGTGAATCAAAGTGGTCTAGCATGATCTCAACTGAGGCCATCATTAAGTCGGATGGCCTGCCCAGGTATAAGCCTTAAATGACTTCACTCAAAAATCCACCAAAGAAAATAACATAACAAATTATGCCAGAAAACATATAGAAATGGGAACATAATGAACCTGGCCAGAAAACGTATGTAGGACAGAAGACATTGACGATATTCATTAGGGGACTTCAATGCCAGGGCAGATGCCAACTGAGCTTCCAAATGAGAGCGTGTCTGCACTCCATCGTCCGTCAGTCTGTATCAGCATAGCACCCTCAAGTCATGATCTTTGAGCCAGACAATTAAATTGGCAACAAGTATGCAGTTGAGGATCAATTGATAAGGGAAAACACTAGCAAGCATAAAAGAATGATATCATTGAAACTCAATATAGAGTGGGAAAAGATTGGCCAATTGAGTTTGACAAACGTGAATTCAGGACAAAATTGGGTAATACTTAACAAATATTCAGGTATATTTTGAGGCTTAATGCTTACATACCTGCTCCAACCTGGCTTTCTGGCCAGGAACTTCCTGACATCCACCTGCAAGGCAGCAAGTTCACCGCCATGGTTAGAACCCAGATTCCAGGAGCTTGCAAAATTTGATGCAGGGAAGCAATCATCTGCAACCCTCAGCCAGCACATGAGGCTCGTATCAAATAGGAAAGCATGGCGTGTTGCCAGAACAACAAGAGGAAAACCAAATTTTGATAATTTTGCAGATATGACTTTGATTGTGCCTGAACAGATTTTAGAAGTAAAAAATGCATCAGGTATATTATCAAAGAAAATTATACAGAAAACCAAACCAATAGGAATATGGTTAATTGTCACTTTGTTAGCCGCCCACTTCCAAATATAGAAACTACCAGACATTAGTATTGATCTAAAATCCATTTTTTTTGTGTTACCTGCATCTTTGGTATTTGACTTCAGATCTGAAGTTATGAGTGAAGCCAATGAATCGTGAAGGAGACATTTCCTCTTGAACAGATCCCACACATATATGGATCCCTTCCTTGTGACAAGCAACAACTTCCAAGACTCATCACAATCTATAAATACTGCTGCAGATCCCATCATCATGGCAGGCATGTCACGTCTCCCGCACTTCGTGTATACCTTCTCAAAGATAAGATCATAAGAACATAACCAAAACAAATCTCTCTACTCAATTAGTCAAATTGTAATTAGCTGCTTTTGTACAAGCATAAAAAAGATTAAAGTATTGGCAACAATTAATACTAAGAAACATTCAAAAGTCAAATAGCAGCCTAGAATTCAATGGCTGAGAATGATGAACAAATGACTCTTTCGGATGGTTACTATAAAGAAACATCACATGTAAACTTAATATAACTGATAAATGCGAGAATCATAACACTAAATTCAGTAGTTAATGACTTGGCATGAAAATCTGGTTCCCGTTTCATATAAAATATTATAGCTGACTTTGACACAAGTAAGATGTCAATATAAAACCCATAGTTTCATCGATGGTAACCAAACATACACACACACACACACAACCAACACACAGACCAATGCCCCATAAGAAGTGCTTAGATAAATGAACCTCACAGATTAATAAATATAAGAGATAAGCCAACAATAATTATACAGAGTAACAACTTACAACCTTCATCATTCTCAATAATTGATAGGGGATATTGCTACCATGTCCTACTGCACAGACAAAGAACTACCATCTCCTATAATGTTCTAATGGACCAATATGTTCTGATTTTTAGATTTTTCAAAACAAGCACACAATGTACTTTATTTCCTGTTTACCCCTTGTAACTAAAACACCAATTTTGTTATCATCTCTAAAGATATCACAGTGTGCCACAACATAATTAGAAGCTCATAATATTTTCAATTGCAACTGTATTTGCAACAAGTTCACCCATTTTATAAACTCAATGATTTTGAACCATTTGAAATTGAAATCAACATAAACTTAGTGATTTGATCAAGTCTTATCTGACATTGTATCTAATTCATAGTAAATATATTATCAGATACACAATTGATTTTCTATTTATAAGGAATAAAATAAGAATTCAACTATATTTTGTACTAGTGTAGTATCGTTTGCGAAAAAGTAGGATTTGATGGTCCTACTGAAAGTTTCAAGTTGAAACTTTATACGGCTTAATGGTTGTTTTCCCTAAATAAACTTGTAACTTTGATAGCACCAGGAGTACAAATATCTGAGACTATTACACACACGCACACAGTCCCAACCAGAACACAACCACCATGCATCTCAGACAATTAAAGAACAAAAGGCATGTACCAAGAATTTAGACACAAAATGTTCTATTATGCATTGGGTTATATGAATGAGAAACCTAAGGCACATAGTTTGAATTTGAAGATCAGATCCTTTGATTCTGCACTTTTGTATAAGAAAACATGAATCAATTGTCTTGGACAGTTGGATAGATATCTCTGAATCATGGTGTCTCTATTTATGTAACTCTTTCCCTCTACTTCCATCCCTCCCATCATACACACACAGGCACAAACACCTACGAATAAATAAGTCAGTGTAGAATATCAGTACAAAGGTATTAAGAATGTGCTGTCTTGGCATGAGCTTCATTGATGTGACAAGAATGTGCTGTCTTGGCATGAGCTTCATTGATGTGACATGTGCAACGGAACTCCTGAAGCCTCATCCAGTATTCGTTATCCTAATATTTAAATACTGGAATGGTCATATATTTTGCATTTCTGTTTCAAGACAAATTAGAAATGTACAGAAGCTTGACTACATATCTTGACAAAACTGAGGTGGTCCGAGTGCAACTTCACCAAAACATATACATGCATGAATGAAATATCACCAACAATCCAGAACTAAAAGGTAAAGGTGTGGAAAATGATGGAATACGATCCATGTTGAGCAACTGTGTAACTCCATAGAATTCTCCATAGTACTTAAAACTCAAAAGAACTGCTTTAGAACCTCATACTAACCTGCAGGCATCCATCTTCACACCCAACAGCCCAGAAGTTGGCATTTCCAGCCAAAACAGTGACCTTCCCAGACATCCTATCAGACCAAAGAGTTTGAATCCCTCTTGTACAAGTAATTTCTGTTTCTTTCATCATGAATGTACTTCCTACCCCAACGACGTCATTTACAGCATGTTCTCTAGGACGAGCTTCCAAACAAACTGGTATTGTATCTATCCTTTCTTTCTTATCAAATACCCTGATTGAAAGTGTGGTACTCACAACTGAAGAACTGATATCCCTGACAGTTCCTGTCTGTTCAACACTAATGCTTCCATCCCTGCCTGCAGAGGCTGGAACCTTCTCAATGACCAGGCTCTCACTGATAGTAGCTCTAGCTGTGACACCAGATCGCTCCTTCATATCACAGCTCCCAGCTAATGGTTTCCTAACAAAACCTTCTCTGATGCCACCATCTGTATGTACCACCCCATTATCATCCTTCCTGCAATCTGAAGAATTAAGAGAGTAGTCAAGGACTTGAGACTGAGCACCACCAGCAATATTTTCCTGCTGAACAGGCATTCCAACTGCTTCTGGGATTATCCTCTTTCGACCATCAGGGCGCCTGTATTCTCTTTGTTTCACAGGACTAGAAATCCGGGCAGGAGGTGCCACTTTATTTAACCCATCACTGGCTCCTTCACTCTTCTTTCCATCATCAATCTTAGTTTTTGAAGACTTTCTTGCAACCCCCAAATCATTAGAAGATTTTAGGGATTGATTCTGTGAAACATCTGCAGCCAATTTTTTGCTTTGGGTTTGCTTAGCTGACGCTGCTTCAAGCAACAACTGTGCCGGACTTTCTGCTAAGTTTGCCTGCCGGCCTCTGACATCGCCATAACGACTTCTCTTTAACTCGTCCAGTTCAGCATCAGTTAGCCTATGGCCAAGTTCATTCACCTCAAAATGGAAAGTAGCCACTGTCCCATCCAAAGAGCATGCAAATAGTGAGTACCCATCAGGACTCCTGCACCCATAAGAAAGAAAATTAAACTTGGAAAGAAGAAATGGGAGGAGACTGGCAGGCCTGATGCAAATCAGTGACCTCAATGTTCAGTATCCTCTGGAAGGAGGTAATGTGCCTATTGTATATCTAACTTACCAGGACAAATCGACAACACTTTGAGAAAAGAAATGCTTAGCCACAAAGAGAGGTCGAGCACTTGCAGTTGTCCACACAGTTATAGTCCGGTCCTGACTTCCTATTGCAATAACATTATATGGCTGTGATTCTTTCCCTCCAGACTTGGAAGATCCATTAGTCCACCCTACAGATGCAGCTTTAACTTCCTGAGCATTCGAGGAATTTCTTCTAAACATTGAATAGTTAAACTTCACAACAATAACAGGGGCATTATGTCCTAAGAAATCAAAAGTTGCAGACCATTCCCCCCTCTCCAGAACAGGGGCAGAATGCCTTGGCTTTTGGAAACCATGAGTGGTAGTTATAAAGTGGCCACAAGGCGACCATCCAAGTCGCCTAAAGAAGGTAGATCCAAGCTGAAAAGCACATAATCTTTTAGATAACATAAAAGCAATAGGGCACAAAGTAAAATTTATCAATCAATTGTAAACATACCGATTTTGCCCAGTGCCCATCTGTCTGGTGAACGAGACTCCAGTCACTTGTACGCCAAATAATGACAGTCTTATCATCTGATTGACTTGCTATAAAGGAACCAATAGGATCCCAAGTAACCCCTTTAACCAGACTAGAGTGACCCCTGAGTACAGCAGTGCAGATGCCGTTGCTCATATTCCATATATGAATAGTGTTATCCAAACTCCCACTAGCCAATATTGAGTCATCTGGAGACCAATTCAGATCTACCTACTTTAAGCATGGGAAGAAACTCCATGGTTAGATAATAATGGTTGGGTCATTGTAAAATAATATATAAGGTTTAAACTCATAAGAACTGAAGTCTTCTCATGTTCTATTTAGAATGCATCCATTACAAGAGAAAACTAAACATGTGAAAAGCAAAAGTTATACACACCCAATGTCATGATACATAAGTTTTATACCATGCACCAAATATATACGTATTTATTTCGATCAACAAGTGACTCTAATTACCACATCAGCAGTGTGACCCCTCAGAGTCATGGCAACTTTCCAATTCTCAACATCCGGTGGCTCTCCACTACCAAACTCCGTGGTTCCTGAACCAGGCTTCCTCTCATGAATCAGTATTACCTGGTCATCAGACCCCGATGCCACATACCGACCATGCTTAGTCCACCTAACACAATTGACCGATCCAAAATGATCCCGAAGCGTTGCAAGAAGCTTCTGTGTTGATTCATCAGTTTCCAAGTCCCTGCCAACAGATTTCATATTCCAGATGCGAACCTACACACATTACATTTACTGCATGGTTAAAAAAATACCATCACACAAAAATTATAACTCACATGCTCAGAAAATCCAACTGAGTCCACTGTAGCAAGCTCAGTTACTAGAGCTCCATGTTCAGACAATGTATCATTTTATGCATAACCACGTGAGACCACATAATAAAAAAAATACCATTTTTGTGAAACCAGATTATCAGGAACTGCAACTGTTATATTCACGCAACACCGAGTTTTGTGTGATGTCCTAATCAGGGAGCAATTTTGGGAACATTGTCAGAAGTTGCAGCTAAAAGTCCCATTTTTGGCTAGCAATGAACACGGAAAACTTAAATAAACATGTAGAAAATAATGGGGTGGAACATGTACTTTTGAGTTAAGAGTATGCTAATTTGTGCAGAAAACTACTCCAAATCCACCTTTATAAGAGTTCCATGTTCATGAAGCGCCTTTTTCAGATTAAATTGATCAAAACCACTTATAGAGAGGGAAAAAAAATAGATCAAAACAGAGAAATCCTATGAGCCCATTAACGAAAAAGTGAAGTTGACTCCAAAGAACGGAAACTCAAAACAACCGAATTCAAGTACAACGAACTACATGAACATACAAAACTCTACTTGTAGCCAGTTGACTGACATTAAAATTTGTGCCTTTCAACACTCAAGGTTTATTGTTCAAAAAAAAAAACACTCAATGTTTTGGTCTCTGCACTTTTCCTACAGTTTCTCAGCAGCCAAACAGAACTTAACACGAAAAAATGATACTCGAACAAGAAACTTTGAGTGTATAAGGAAAAGAATACAGTACCTTGTGATCACCACCACCAGTGGCGAACCTAAGCCCACCAGGCTGAATATCAATGGAGAAAATCTGCATACCCTCATGTCTAACCCAACTGGGCTTCTCTGCAATCATCTTGAATTCTTACTCTCAACACCCAACTCACCTTTTGTCACCAAAAACCTTCACTAAAGAGTTTCAAAATCCATGGCCTATAAACCCCAAGAAAACCCAGATGGATTTTTATGATTTTTAAAATAAAAAAACAGTAAAACCCCCTAATTTGGACTATTTAGTGGGAACAATATTTTGATAGAACCCTAGATATAGTGGTGGATTTGGGGTTTCAACTTGAAGAATAAGATTAAGCTAACTATTTTTTTTTTTAAAACTGTCAAATCCAAAGGAAGATTTTGGGTCTATTTTAGATACTAAAGACTGCAAAAAGGAATGATTAAACAAAGCAAAGGGGTAGAAATCATGGAAAGAAAAGTGGTAAACAAGACACAGAGATTAGGGAATGTGTAAGGTATATATATGCACAAACGGGTTGTGTACTTTTATAGAGTACATAACAAAATGGTAATTTGGGGTTTGGAAATCCTTTTCTAATCACGAATACTACTCACATATTATTTTTATTTGAATTTTATTTTTTATATTTATTTAATTTGTAAATTTTTTTAAACTTTTTTATTAATTGCATTTGATTTTTAAATTTTTTTAACTTGTTTATTAATAATACATTTATATATAATTTTTTATATCTATACCTAATGAAAAAATAAACCAACCTTATATTCTATTATATACACGTAATTATCAAATTAGTTTATACGGTTCAATATATGTTATATTTGATTTTTTTAGTATGTAATAATATCATATTATTATAATATAAATAATAATATTACAATTTAATCAATCTCTTTATAAAAAGTGTAATAAATCTATAATATAATTAGATGTCTAAATACTCAATAATTCAAATTTGACAATGAAAATTCAATATTATTATAAACAAAAGATAAAATGTCTAATAGGTCGGGGAGATAGCTAAACAAACAACAGATTAAAAATTCAAAAAGGGATAGAGTAGATTAATAACTAGATTTAGAATTAATTAAAATAAAAGTTAATCATTTGACATATAATTTATTATTCAATTTAATTACATACATAATTTAAATTTTTTTATAAAAAAATATCATTTAAATATATTCACATGCAACGAACGTTGTTGATTTTCTAATAATAATAAATATAATATTATTTCTAATAACGAATATTGTTATAAATAGTATAGATATAGATATAAATTTTTTTATTATTATTATTAAATTCTTTCATTCAACATTAGACTTACTTAGGGTCAACTTTTTTCACTCTTTTGTTTTACAAATTCTATCATAGGTTACGTGCTAGAATTTGAGATTTGAATTTTATTACTTTTGGTCAAATTCTATCATACGACATTAAAGTTATTAGAGTCATTAGTGGTAGTATAACTCACTAAAAATCCACTAATAGATTTGATGGTTTTTATTGTGATGATTAAACTCGAAAGAAAATGTTAAATATTGAAAATTGAAAAAGTTTGAATCCATGAATTGAAGTGAACATGGTCAATGCTTATTTTCTTTTCTTCTTTTTTTTTTTTTGAGATGTGTTGGGTTGGAAAGAGGGATTTAAAGTAATTTCGGATAGAAATATGATTTTTGCAAAAATATCAAAATATTAGAGGTAATTCGTGTCTGAAAACAAGGTGTGCAATGTGAATCATTTTAAGAAAAATATCGGTAGTCGTTGAATGAATTTATTTGGGACCGTAAGATAGACTTATTGAAAGTTGTCCGATTTTATATTATAGATATCGACTATCAAGTTAAAAGTTAAGATCCAAGACATTAATTACTACTAAATATGATTACTTTCAAATTAAACCAAAAAAGTTTGAATTGGTCCAACATTTTAAGATCGATTCCAATAATTTTAAATGCATCTCAATTTTTTGGATCAAGTTTATCACATACTTTTTTTTTAAATATTTTTTTAATTCAACCGTCAAGAATTTGGGCCACATACTTTGAAGTTATAAAGAAACTACATCAATTAAAACTTTTTGGAAAAATTTCGGTGACAATTCTTTTAGTTTATTATATCTTTAAAAAAATTCTCTCTATTTTGTGAGAATCTTCAATAACACCTTCTGTCAAATTAAATATATTAATTAGAATGTAACTTTATTAAATTGTCCATGATATATATTAGGAAAAATTTTATTAACACCCCCTCTAAATAGACATATCTTCAATGAGACCTCCTCTATTTTTAAAATTTTGTTATATATTAAAATTTGACTAGAGCTAATTAAAATTTGAGTCTATAATTTTTTTTTTAAGTACTAAAATTTAAGCCGATTAAAATTCTATTTGAACCTCAAATCAAATTTTTATCAGCTTGCATTAATTTTTAATCGGCCCGGTTGTTGATACATAAAAAAATATAAATTTTAATTAACTCAAATTTTAATACGTAAAAAATAAATTTTAATCAAGTTGAATCAATCGATTCAAAGCAAATTTTAATCGAAGCTAACAACTCAAGTAAAGTTCAAATTAACTCAAAATTTAATACGTAAAAGACTTTTAATAGGTTTAAATTTTAATACTTAAAAAAAATAATATTTAATTAGTTTAAATCGAATTTTAATCGACTCAAATTTTAATATGTAGAAAAAAAATTTAATCAACTCAAATTTTAATTGAATTTTATGTAAAAAGATTATTTGGAATTTATGTAAGGACAATTTTAGAGTATTTTAGATAATTTATGTAAGGACATAAAAAAGAGTATTTTAGACAATTTATGGTTTTTTTTTTATAAATAATGGTTTAAGATTAGAGGATGTCAGTGATGTTTTTGATAATAGAATAATGTCTTAACAAAAATGAAAAGCCAAAACTTTTTTTTTCGTGAAAATCCTAACCGGTTTTGTCCTTCAATTAATGCTCAAATACGTGTTTTTGGCCTCAATCATGACACGTAAACCTAGCTTCAACTAAAACCAAAACTCTAAAAACTAAAAACGCACTTGCACCATAATTGAAAATCTTTAACAGATTTGGTTCATCAATCTTTCAAGATGAATCGATTTCCTGAGAGTGTTTCTTAGATGAGGAGACCAAAGGAGGGAGACGCAAGACGGAGGTGAGAGGGAGACGAGTGTGTTTCCTGAGATGAGCAACATATGAGAAGAGAGCAAGACAGGGAGTCTAAGAGGGAGACAACAAGCTGGTGCGAGTCCTGCGGGACACCGATAATCTATAGGCTTGACGTGGTCAAAGAGTCAAAAGGGCATTTTAGCAAAATAAACATAAACCTAATAATATCTCAGCGCAATTTTGTCTTTCGTCATTTCTGTTAACTCCTTAGCAAAATGTTATTGACAAGGGGTCTGTGTGTAATTTTGTATACTTGAGTGGTTTGTGTGATTAAATAAAAAATTTTAGGGGGTCTAGATATAATTTTTTCTTTTTTTTTTGTTGGTAAGTCAAATGTACAAAGTAATTCTAAAGCTTCTCAAGTTGTTCAAAAATATTATTCTCGAACCAATTAACTCAAAGTGTAGTAATGTTTATTTGATTTTTATGTCGGATTACAACTTGATACATTAGCCAATACCCACTCACCACAGCATTATTATATATGCCTTCATGAGTGGTAGGGCTCAGGTAACCATGGCCTAACTTTCAGTCAAAGCTTATTGTTGGGTCAGATGTATGATTAAGCAGAATCACATTACTGCAAATAATAGTTTAATTTACAATTATAGGGCAAGTCAGTGGAGGTTACCTCCACCTATTTGAGGGAATGCTTCATTGTGCAAGTCTATATTTTTTAACTATAACATAATCGTAGAATGCTCGTCACATCTACAAACCACCTTCTTATCATATTTCTGCAGAAATTTAGATCTCAGTGCAACTTTTCATTATCAAGTGAGCATCGCAGTTGAAGGTCCTGTATTGTATTCTGCGTCGTGTTTTAGACATCAAACAAAAGGCCTAAACTACTTCGACAAGCATTGCAAATGCACACACCATGTTCAGGAATCCGACACAATGTTCTCGATGGTCTTTCATCAAACCTCAGTTTCTTGCTCAATACACAAGGAAAAGCCAATTCATGCGCCTTTCCCACTTCGGGAAGTTTAAATAGATCAACAGATATCTGCAAATCCAGCATCAACAATATAGAATACAAATGCAAGCAATTGCACATTTAGTCGTGACTCAATTGTGTAACCATATCCTCAACCATCCTCTCCAAACTCCTTTGTGAATCTCTCGTGCACCTCAAGGTCAGATTTGCTCACTGTCGGTCTCTGTCTTGCAAGCACCTTATCAAAGTCTGTTTTTGCGATTGGTGGTGGGACAATCTGCACATGTACAATCAGCAGCAAGAAGCACTCAGTTCGTATTCGAGTGCTTGAGAAAAAATTTCATTCTCGAAACATTTGCATTCCTTGTCCATGTACTTAAAAAGCAACTCATTTAAACAATTAATTTTACCATTTTCTTTATTTGGTCATGCATTTACTTCTATTTTCAACTATTGGTTCTTAGGGGATTTGATTCTAGGCGGCCTGTGGTTTTCAATGACAAGGCATTTGAGATTGAATAATTCATTTTCATGAAGTGGCATGTTGCCACAGTTAAAATTTTTACGAAGAAAGTATATCAAAAGCAGGGAGTCTCAAGATTAAATTAATGAAGGATGCCAATACCACAGAGTAATGTGTGAAGAATCTATGAATACCTTTGAAGCCAATCCTTGTGCAGCAAGCTCCTGCATGGAGATCTGGACAGCACCCGGTTGCTTTGGTCCACATGGTACCCACATACCACTGGAAGTCTTAGTGAAGTACATAGCATCTTGGGTTTTACGAACAGGCTCAAAGAGTACATCCTTGACCTGTTAGAGCCAAAGATAAAAATGAGATCCCAACATAAATATTCCACACCATTGAGGGAATTTAGTAGATAACATTCATGCATCTCATTGACTGCTGCACTTACACAAACAGAAATATCTGAACCAGAAAACCCTTCTGTCTTACGAGCTAAATTTTCAAAGTCACTTTCAGTCAAGTTGTGAGGGGTATCTCCTAAATGCACCTACGCAAATTACACGAGCACAACAAAGTAGAATGTTAAGAGATATATCAGGCTAGAAAAATGACATGATCACATTGCATAATATCCATTTTGATAGTCTGTGCGCGTTCACGTGTGTGTGTGTGTGTGTGTGTGAGAGAGAGAGAGAGAGAGAGAGAGAGAGAGAGAGAAAGAGAGTTTCATACTTTGAAAATGTGCTGCCGTGCCTTCAAATCTGGGAGGGGAATGTATATACGCTTGTCAAATCGCCGTCGAATGGCCTGTAATAATATTCATTTTTAGTCAAAATTATCATGTCACCACTACTCTTATGCCACAGTCCTTTTACCTGATCTAAAGCATAGGGAGTATTTGTTGCTGCCAAAACAAGGACTTTATCGTCGTTGTGTCCAACACCCTGAAAATTACAATTGGTTATTACAAGGCTCACTTTGAAAAAAACTGACCATTTTTATGGTCAGAATGTATATTGTATTGCCTCTCTCAGAAAATCAAGGTAAAGATAACTTGCATTTACTAGATTTGTGGGACAGAACTACACTATTCTCCAATTGATCATAATGACATGGGAAAGACAAGATGACAGAAAGAATATAGGGCCAAGTTCAATTTAAAGTTGTACTATTCAATCATCACCATTTGTCTCTCTGACCAACTAGGTGTAGCAATTTCTGAAAGCACTCGGGTTGGAACTCAGGATCCAATCGTCATGGTCACAATAAATGAAGAGTGTTCTCAAGGCCAAATAATAGATGCTCAGGCAACCATTAGAGTTCGGAGAAGAGACAAGGAATCAAATTTCTAATTGTTCGTTTCTCTTGTACCCAGCTCTGATCAGAAGCACCTCCCTTCTCATCATCCCAATACCACTTGCAGTTGGCATCATCTTGTACAAGCACATGAACTAACCCAACAATAATTCCAAACGAGAAAAAGATTGGTCTTTTGAGAGGAAGGCAACTTAACTAACCTGACCTTATAAAGGCCCAATCATGGGCTTTCTGACCAGACCCAACCCTAGATACTTAAGGTGCCATACCCGAACAGCATACCCTGGACACTTCACCAATTGCAAGCACACAATGCTATGCTGTCAGGCAATATTTTGATAAGAATCACACTTTATTAATAATTAAAAGTCGAAACAATGGTGGACAAGAAGTCCAACACAAACAATGGAAAAAACAACAAAATTAAAAAAATCAAATTACAAGCCGCATGAGGCTTTTCAGCTAGCTCTAATACAAAAAAGAGGAATGTCTTCAAACTCCTTAGTCGTTGAAGTCCAAAAAGAAGCCAAAAAATGAAGTCTACCCCATAATCGCTCAACTTCTTCACATTTATCCTAAAAAATTCTCGCATTCCTTTCTTTCCAAATCACGCATAATGCAGCAAAGAACACATTATACCAAATAGTCTTTCATCTCCTATTTCCCCCATAAACCTCATTATTTAAACAAAACATAGAATTCATGTCCATGGTGCAGCCCAAGAAAAATTCACGAGGTCAAAAATCTTATTCCAAAGAACTCGTGTCAAAAGACAATGCAAAAATAAGTGATTTACACTTTCATAACCGCCTCAACACATAACACACCATTGTGGTTGAAGACAGAAATTTGGTCTCCTCTTTTGAAGAAACTCATTTGTACTCACCTTACCATGGACAATAATCCATGCACAAACTTGCACCTTCAAAGGCACTTTAGCCTTCCAAATTTTCAGTGATGGTTCAAAAGAAGGAAGTAAAGGATTGTCAATTAAAGATTACAAGAAAAAATACCTGTTGGATCACCAATCTAATACCTTCTATCCTCCAAATTAGGAATCAACATAACATTAGAAAGCATAGGAACAAGACACATCAATTCCAAACATTCTCTATCATTAAGACTCCTACAAAAACCAAAGTCCCAAAAAATTGGAAGAGAATATGATCGAACCATAGATGCAACCCAAACACCATAATAAGAAGAAACACGATACAGTCGAAAGAAAAGACTAGAGAGAGAAGACTCACCCACCCACTTATCCTCCTAAAACCGCACTCTAGTTCCATTACCAACACTAAACTTAACCTTTTGAAAAAACAAGGTAATCCCTGAGAGATGAACTTCCACAGACTCCAAAAATTATCCCTTTCAACCCCATTAGCATCCCACCCATTAGCTTGGATCTCATACTTGCTCCTGATAACGGTATGCCACAATGAATCTTGTTCCAAAGGGAACCTTCTGAGCCATTTTCCAACCAAGGCTACATTACTCTTCACTAAATTTCCTATTGAAAGACCCCGTTATTATTTGTTCAAATGGTCCTTCCGTCCCTCTTCTACCCCTTCCCATAAAAAATCTCTCATAAAATATTCAACTTCCTTAGCCGCCTTCCCTGACATTCTAAAAAGAGACATAAAATATATTAAAATGCTAGACAAAACAAACTAAACCAATGTTAATTTACCTCCCCTAGACATGAAACATTTTTTCATCCATCTAACTTCATCCCCACTTTCTCAACCACAGGGTCCCAAAAATTTCTAGATAATGGGTTACCACCCAAAGGAAACCCTAAGTATCTCAATGGCCACTCACCCACTGTGCATCCCATTTCCTATGCCAACCTCTCTATCTTCTCTTAACTAGAGTTGATACCCACAATAACACTCTTTTCCATGTTAACCTTTTGTCCATAAATTATACCAAACAAATCAACAATCATCTTTAAATTCCTTATTTTCTGTTCATCCCCTAAAGAAAAGAAAATAGTGTCATCTGCAAATTACAAATGAGAAATTGCAATCCTCTCCCCCTATCACAAACCCATCCACTAAATTACATCATTTTGCCCTCTCTATCAATCTACTTAAATCATAAACCACCGGAGTAAACAAGAAAAGGGATAGAGGATCTCCTTGCCTAAGTCATCTGTACACACAACCCCCTAATCTACTTCCTTCATCCCCCACCAAAGCCCTTTCCTTCCAACACAGTATCCAAAAAATCTCAATCCACATAATCATAAGCTTTTTCAAAATCAATCTTCAATACAACCCCTTCGTCCCCCTTCCCTCCGTACTCCTCAACAATCTCATTACCAACAAGTGCCACATCCATAATATGTCTCCTTTTCACAAAAGCACCTTGATATTTTGAAATTGTGTCACCCAAACACTTCCTTACCCTCATAGAAAAAACCTTAGAAATAATTTTATACGAGCTAGTAACTAAACTAAAAGGCCTGAAATTCTTAATCTTCATGGAATTAACTTTATTAGGGACAAGGCAAATATATGTAGAACTTGTCACTCCATTGATAATTCCCTTATGTATAACTTCTAAAAACTCTCATCAAATCACCCTTCAATACATCCCAACACACCTGATAAATAACCATTGCGAATCCATCCGGCCTAGGATCCTTTTCTTTACTACATTCAAAAACAGCTTCCTTACCTTCTTCTACCTCAAAAGATCTCTCCATCCATCCTACAACACTCCCATCAATAGAACACTACTCAAGACCCCTCATAATAGGTTTATCACCACCATGATTCGCATACAAATTGGCAAAAAAACTAATGATCTCACTCTCTATGATACCCTAATCCTCAATTATAGACTCATCCTTAAGTTCTAGCTTATCAATGTATTTCCTCACCTTATTACCATTCACCACTCTATGAAATTTTTTTGAATTATTATCTCCCTCCTTAACTCATGATTTTTGTCTCAAACTAATCTCTTCTTTGAATAACACATCCTCAAACTTATTCCTAACCTCACTTATTTCTCTCTTCAACTCTCCATCCATTCCACCATCCTCCTATCCATTCCATCATCCCCTTCTATTTCTATCAATATACTCAATCCTCTCCAAAATAACCCTTTTTGCCTCTCTAATATCCCCAAACACCTCTTTGTTCCAAACCTTAAGCTTATGTTTTAGTACCTCAAGCTTTTTCATAAATCTAAACTTTTCCCATCCTTAAACAGCACCCTCTTCCCACCATTCTCTAATCCTTACTCTAAAATCCCTATACTCCACCCACATATTCTCAAACCTAAACAGACCCAGACCCCACCTAAACTTAGAATCTACAAGAACAATGGGGATCTAAAACCACTCCAGACAAAGCCAAAGCCTCCTGCCTAATCCTGGAAAGCAATCTTCCCACTCCCCCGTAAATAAAAATCTATCCAACCTCTTACAAGCCACCCTACTTCTAAAATTCAACCATGTAAACTCACCATTAGCCAAAAGGTGATCCTTAATTCTGTTTCCCTAACAAATGTGTCAAAATCTCTCATACTCTTAGATATCCACCCTCCATTCAGTTTCTCTGCAAAATACCTAATCACATTAAAATCTCCCCCAACATACCACCTAGGACTACACATTCCAAATAACCCTGCTAACTATTCCCATAAGGATATCCTCACCCTAGGCTTGTTAGGGCCACATACCCTAGTGAGCCACCAGTCACCACCATCCCTAATCTTAATTCTAACTGAAACCGTAAACTCCCCCTCAAGTGATTCTTCCACAACAACCGACCAGTCAGGCAATATTTGACATTATTAGTTTCAAGACCAGGGCAGATTTTTTTACGACTGATAAGCAAGGCCAGAAAAGATTCTACAACCAGCCAGTTCTCTTCATACTTTGGATGCATTGTTAAGGTCGGTAACCATTATTCACTAAAGGACACTACTGCTGCCACTCTTCAACTCCTCATTAGCACAAATAAATAAACATTACTTAAAAGAACCAAATTCTAGTGAATCTATGAGTATTTGTTAATTATGCCACATTTAGATGAATATACAAAGAAAAATCAGATCTCAGGAGCCGTAGTGAAAGAGCCAAAAAAATCTATGATATCTAGAAGTACGATCCTATAATGTGGGTCATTGTCAATAAGAGCAAGCACATCAGTGAAATGTTCTAGCCATTTGAAGCAATGCCGCTAAGACTTAATCCAAAAATACGAAAAGAAAGAAACAAACGACAGAATAATCGATATGAACTACTATTAAGTTTTGTGCATCAATATTTTCCTTTGTGAAATGAATAAGTTAATGACAACAACATTGAGTAGAATGACTTGACCATCGTTAAGTTCAGATAGAGTATGTCAAGAGTCTATTTGACCTTGGCTTTGCTGAAATTGGAGGCAGCTCAAGCTTGAACTCAAGTCAAGATGAGAACCAATAGTTAAACTCAACGCAATGAGTGCCTGTAAGGTTCACGACCTACTCGCGTGCTAGGGCAGGGCAATACAATAACTAAAATCTTAAAATGCTCTATTTTCATTGGGCCACTTGAGACTTGATGACTGCTGTAGCTCATGACATTGTACAAGTGATTCAAAGTATCAAAAGTCAAAGGCTGAAACAGAGACAGTCATCTCACAGACAATTTGTCCAAATATCAGGCAACCTTGTCCTTTTAAACTTGGAATACCACTAGAGCAATGTGCACATGGGACCCCTAATACATAGTCCTAGAGTAAACTTACAACACCTGCCATTACTTTGCAGCCTTTGAATACCGTAAAATCTATAATATTTACCATTACTTTGTGTTCACAAGCTAGACCAAGCCAAGCTTTTACCTGCTCGACCTCGACCCATTGGAGTGCAAAGCCTTCAAACTCAAATTGAGCTCAATTCATTTATCAGATAAATGAGCTGGAGTAGAGCTGTGCAAGAATGGATAAGTTCACTCGCAACCCTAAGCCTAACATACACTTATCCTTCCTGGTGATATTTCACAACATTGAATAATGTTTCCTTGTGTGTATGCATGGGGTAAACATATGAATAAGAAATACAGTATTCAACGCACAAGGAAGTCAGGAACAACAAAAGAAACAGAAGTGATGAAACTGACAAAACCTATTCTTTAATATGCACAACTGCATCATTTGTACATGGAATCTTTCCGCGCACGCACACACATGTGTAAATGCACATATACACAGGTATATATCAGAGCACATTGTATATGGCTTAATGGCGAAAGGCATTTTAATTTCTATAGATATCTTCATTTTTTTGGGTCCAAAGGAAGCTCAAGGCAATGCCTATATGAGCAAATACCTGCATCTGCACAAGTAGTTCTGTTTTGATACGTCTGGAAGCTTCACTCTCATTGCCTTCTCCACGCTGGCCACATAAGGAATCTATTTCATCAACGAAGATGATGGATGGCGCACTTTCACGAGCCATTTGGAAAAGGTTTGAAACTAACTTTTCACTTTCACCCATCCACTTTGAAACCAGGTCTGAAGAAGAAACACTGGACAAAACCAGCAGTTGGCACATGCCAACTTATTGGTCTAAGTTCTTGTTTAAACAAAAAGGAGTGCATGTGTGTAAGCAGATGATAGAAAAAAATCAAATAAAATTGTATAGATATATGCATACAGACAAATCAAAACAATATTTTCAACACATAATCCCTATGGTTTGCCAGATAGGGTATAGGAAAGTAAAAAGTTCATGTATCAATCGGCAAATGAAGAGCACCCATGAGCTTTTATGATAAAGCAAGCATCACATGGAAGCTGATCAAGCATAAAGTATTACAGACAAGGACACACATGAGGAGGTCATAAATGTACAATGGCAGCTACGAAAACGTAATAACATTCCCAGACAAAAAAGGCACAACCATTCTCTATTCACAGAAAGGCAACCTTCTAAAAATTTCCATTAAATTTATATATCTGCAGCTGTTCCTATCATGAATGAAATCTACATAATCAGTGCAAAAATGACATCCCCTTAAGCAGCTTTAGAACAAGCTCAATGATTCAGTAGACATAAAGGCAGTAGGGAAACGGTGCTAAATACATATTGAACTGCCTGTGAACTGCTATCCTACAGTGTTTTCACTCAAAACCACCATGACCTCAGTGGTTATATGGTCCTTAGTTGGATGTCGGACCAAATATGACATACATCAAGGTTAAAAGGGACCATTTACATAGTCATAAACGGAAAAATAAGAAAAGAAAACATGTTCAGTTATTGTTAAGCTTTCATAAAAAATGACAGTCTTATTGGTTCCAAGAACCAATACAAAAGCTATCAAATATAAAACTTCCAACCAAACTGGGGATAAGATAGACCAGGCAAGCAATGATGGAGCAAATATTAAGTAGATGACACCCTCTAGACATCCTTAAGGAGTGCATGGGCAAGTCAAAGCCCAGATCTTCAACAGACCCTAGTGTTGTATTTATAAGAGGGAAAGCCTTCGAATGATAGTTATTGAAGAAACAACAAAAGAAAAAAAAAAACATAACTATTTATCACACTAATATAATCACCATTATCAGCATTACAAACCTTTACTATACCTTAACATTTATGACATCAAAAGAGATGATATTCTAAGCAAACAGATGAATGTATGATGACACTAAACTTACCTGAAAAATGTCGAGTCTGCTTCAGTTGCAACAGCTTTGGCTAAGTATGACTTCCCTGTTCCAGGTGGACCATATAAAAGAAAAGCTCTCCATGGCTGCCTCTTGCCTAAAAGCGAGCAAGATAACAATTGAAATCATAAGTTACAAGATGACGCACAATAGAATACAAGCACAATTTGTGTAGTCTCTTTTCAACATGGATCATCAACATAAAGCAGAGCGAATATGGCAACTGCCACCAAACAAGGAAAAAAAGAGATGTCCCTTTAGACAGCATGACCACGATGCCTGACAGCAGTTCTTTACCCATTAGAATGCTCAAATGAATTGAAACATTTAAGAAGAACATTTAAGAAGAAGATTGAAAACAGGGAACATCCAGACTTTCTAAGGACCTCACTGGCATTCACAATTGGAATTTAAATTCATAACCGTCTAGCTGTAGAAGCTCAACATGTTTCTACATTGTCTCCAAAAAATTCTGACCAGGTCAACAAGGTAATGCTGGCTTCTATGTAAAGTTTCTTTTAGGTTTAAGCATAACCTGTGTTACTGTTTTTTCTTCACAATTGGAATTTCAATTCGTAACCGTCTAGCAGTATACAACTCCATGAGACAAAGCAGTTGAGAATTTGAATCTAAAGGGCTAAAAGGCTTTTCTATACTTACAGTAAACATGTTAAGTCTATACTTAACTGGAAGAAACCTTCAAATTGTTTAGATATGGATACTTATTCAAGCTGAATTTCTGTTTTATTTTAACACCCAAAGGTTGGGACGCTTCCATTAACAAATTTGACAGCTCGAGAAAACAATTGGTTTTCACTAAACAAGCATGGACTGTTCGATCTGTGGCACACAGCTTAAAATTTTACCCTTTCCCCATCAAAGGTAACATAAAATCTGCATTCAACCCTCAACTAAGAGAATCAATGCTACAAACCCACATACTCAACTTCAAACCAGTCAATTCATAGCATAATCAAAACCAAAACAATCACATAAACTACAAAAGAACTACCAAAACAATCAATTACACTCATAAATTAAACAACCAAATAAATTTTAATTGACCATGAATTTTGCTAACCAGTAAAATTATACAGCTTTAAGTTGAACTCCTTCCCCATCAGATATTAAATAAATATGCTTCTACCACGTCAACTAATTTAAATAAGACCACACATATCAAATCCAAAACAAACCAAATTATAGCAAAATAAGCACAAAAAAATCAACGTTTCCCACCAAAAAAAATCAAATTCAATCGACATAAATCATGTTCAAATCAATCAGAATGAAACAGACACAAAATATTGCTGACCAGTAAAGAACTGCGGAAATTTCACTGGCAAAATAACCGCCTCTTGTAACGCCTGTTTCGCGCTCTCAAGTCCCGCCACATCATTCCACTTGATATTCGGTTTCTCCCTAACTATAGCTGAATTCAACCCCGCCCTCAGCTTCGCCTGCTCCGGATCCTCCCCATCGCCGCCCTCTCCGCCATCCTTCGGCTTCGTCTTCGGCCTCGTCGCCACCGCCGCATCCCCATTACTGGCCTGTCCGGTCCCTCCTTCGTCCAACACCGCCCGAATCTCCTCCGCTCGGCGCAAATACTCGGTGAATTTCTGGGTAATTGCCTCTCGGATTTTAGGGTTTTTCTCGTACTTCAAGTGGGTCTTGAAGTACTCCAAAGCGTTCATGTATAATGGAAAGGCCTTGGCGTAATTCCCAGCATTGTCTTCCTGTACGGCTTGTTTCACGTACTCGATCGCTTGTTCTTTGAAATTGCTATACATCTTTGCTCATGTATATGTGTTTTTGTGTATATAGATCGGGTGAAATTGGGGATTTTTAGGGTTTGATTGAAGAAAGAGGGCTGAATCGATTAGGCCAATTGGGTTTCATGGATGAAGGAAGGTTTGAATGTTGAATTGATTCTTGGCTGTTGGGAAAGGTCTTCGAAGTGACGCGTGAGGGCTATTGCGTACGTGCGGGGTGTGCGTGTGTGGGTGAGAGGGATATAAATATTTTTAACCCCTCAAGTTTATATTCAGTGGCACTTTGGCCCCCCTGAAATATCATAATGTGAATTTGAGTCTTAAATGGTCTAGAAAATATCTATATTTGTATTTTTGATATAAGAGCCATATAAACATTATTATTCAATTATTTTAACGGATAACTCATCTAGACCATCAACTATATGACCAGTTATTAGAATATTTTTCAAATTGGTTTGGATGACTTTAAATCTTGAAATTGATGGCATGTTTGGTATATGAAATTTAGATGGTGGATTTTATGAAAATAGTTTAATATACCTTAAAAACTTATGTTTAGTTCAAGATTTAAGGTTTGGGTTTTGAATCCCAACCTGCTGGCCAAAGTGGATTAGAAACCATAAATGGGAATTTGATGAAATTTAGTGGTGAGTGGAGGTGGTTTGCAAAAGTGATGTTGAAAAAAAAGACAATCAATTAGGGGTGTGACTATAATCTTTTATAATCAGAAGGAAAAAAATAAAAACGTAAAGAGGAATTATTATTTATTTATTTTTGGTGTTGGAGGTGTGTGTGGTGTTTTTTTTACTTATTTACTAGTAATAAATACATTAAAATAATATTATGTTTATAGAAAATAATAATTATATGTATAATTAAATTGCTGAATAATTAATTGATATTTTAATTATTGATTTATTCTATAAATTATTGAGTACTTAATTTGTCATTTATTTAGGTATATCTTCAATTTCTTTAAGTTTTTGCACATCTAATTATATTATAGAATTATTAATTTTATTTTGTTAAATAAATTCGTTAGATCGTTTATAATTATTATATTATTGCACACTAATGCATAAAATATAACATATATTTTACTGTATAATTCAATTCGGTAACTACTTATTTATGATAATTGAATATATATAATTTTAGTTTTTCATATAAATATAAACAATTGTATATAATTACACTATTAATAAATAAGTTTTTATAAAAGAGTCTAGAATATATTAAAAGTTTAAACAGGTGTAAAAATAAGAATTAGAAAAAAGTATATAAATAAGTACAATTGACTTTATTGTAATAATTAGAGATAAAATAGGAAATATTATTGAAAAAATTTCAGCCACATCCTTTCTAATTTATTATATATTTAAGGAGACCTCTTCTATTTTTCTAAATCTTCATTGTATCATTTATCAAATTAAAAGCTTTAAATAGAATATAATTTTTCTAAATCTCCTATGATATATTTTATGAAAAATTTCATCCACACTCCCTCTAAATAGGACATATTTTCAATAAAATCTCATTTGTTTTATAAATGTTTTATGTATTAAAATTTGGGTTAATGGAAATTCAATTCTAGCTCATTTTTAATCTACTCAAATCAAAATTTAACCAACTAGCGTTGAATTTTAATCGACTCGAATTATGATACTTAAAAAAAATAAAATTAATCAACTTAAAGTTTAATACATAAAAACAAATTTCAATCAATTTGAATCGGATTTTAATAATAAAAAATATAAATTTTAATTGAATCGAATTTTAATACGTAAACAATAATTTTAATCAGTTTAAATTTTAATATGTAGAAAAATAAATTTTAATCAATTTGAATTTTAATATGTAAAAAAATAAATTTTAATCAGCTCAAATTTTAATTAAATTTTACGTAGAATGATTATTTGAGATCAAAATTTAGTCGAATTTTAATATGTAAAAAAATAAATTTTAATCGATTCAAATTTTAATCGAATTTTATGTAAAAAAATTGTTTATAGTTTATGTAGAGGTAGTTTTGATATTTTAGATGAATTTGTTTTGTTAAGAAATAGTGGTTTAACAATAGAGTGTGTCAATAATGTTTAAATAAAATTAAAAAAAGGTATCAGTGATGTTTTGGAAAATAGAGAATATATTTTTGAAGATATGGTAAACTAAAAGGGTTGTGACTGAAATTTTTTCTTATTTATTTTATTTTGAGATAATTGCAAGTTGTACCCCAAAAGATATTTTGAATCTCAATTTACACCCCCAAAAGATCAAAAATCTTAATTTATACCTCACAAAAATAAAAATTTATATCAATGTGCACCCCCAAAGATAAAAAATCTCAATTTACACTCTCAAAAATATAAATTTGTATCAATGTACATATAAAACTAAATAGATAAATTATACCTAAATCCTCTCATGCTTGTCACTTAATCATTTGGACCATTTCACATTTAGAATATTACTCCTACATCTCATAGCGTTTGTGCCCGTGTAATACGTAATCTTTTTTCGTTGATATATGTTAATATAACCATTAAAAAATATAATTTTATCTAATAAAAAATTATAATTTCATATTACCCTTTATTTTATGGGTCCGATATACTCTAAAGTTTAAAATTAAGTTACCATTTGAATGTCTAATAGAATGTAAATATTTATATAATATTTTTTATATCCAATGCAATACATCACTTAATGTGCAATCTTTTATTCTATTAGACATTCAAATGGTAAACTTGATTTTAAATTTTATAGTATATTGGACAAATTAAAATTGAGATTTTTTATTTTTGGGGTGTACATTGATACAAATTTTTATTTTTGGGGTGTACATTGATATAAATTTTTATTTTTGAGGGTATAAATTAAAATTTTTGATATTTGGGGATACACTTTAATACAAATTTATATCTTTGAATATATAAATTAAATTTTTTGAGATTTGGGGGTATACATCGATATAAATTTTTATCTTTAAAGGTATAAATTAAATTTTTTGATCTTTAAATGTAGAAATTGAGATTCAGTATCTAATTTACGATTAACCCTTTTATTTTTTAGGTTTTTTTGGGTTAAGGGCAATGGCAAGGGCAAGGGGAAGGGGGGATGTGGGTAAATAGGTTCCTACTCTCCTCCGAACTGTGAAAAGAAAGGCTTTCTCAGCTGGGAGTAGGGTCTTGCTTGTTGACTGTGGATATCATGGGAAAGCACGGAAAGAAGCAGAAACACAAACACCAACACCAACACCAACACCAACGTAGAGGAAGAGCCTCGTACATTTCTGAAGAAGAACAAGAACAAGAATACCCAGTGAGCCTGCCTTCATCTTTAGCTTCCAAACTCACTCTGTCTGATAAGGAAAATGAATCGGAAGACGAAGGAGAGAAAATTGAAGAAGATGATGAAAGTGATAAAAACCCATTAACTAGTGACATCCCATCCAAGTTCTTACTCTATCAACAGTCTGTACAGGTGACCCATTTGCTCTATGACCTTTCAAAATCTAAAATGCTTCACTCTTTTTATTTCTTTTGGAAGTATATTTAGTTTTTGCAAATCTAGATGTATAGTTGTAACTGTAAATTTCTGTGTTCTTTGGGTGCAGTCACCGAAAGGAGACATAAGTTATTTGCAAAAGTTCTTTTTGATGTATGTGGGTGGGAGGGTCCCCCTGCATCTCCAAGAAGATTTCTGTGGAACTGCTCTTCTTAGGTATATATTGGAACTTCCTTTTTGATTTTTTGGTATTCCAATTTATGTTATTAGGTGTGGTAGTGCAGAATATGTATAATGTATGATGATTAAATTCACTCGACATTGAAAAGCATTATCTTTAGGGGACATGTTTTTCCATACTTGGTGCTTCAAGTGAGAGTTATGACTCAATTTACAAATCTGAAGGATGGCTGTTTGATGAAAGTCTTAAGAGAATTGTATTGTAAGTAGATTACCATCTTATGGCCCTTTGAAAGTGGACTTAGAAGCTTTAGATTATTGAGTTTTGTTAAAAAATAGAATCACATATGTTGCCTCTAGGCATTATAGAGTATAGAGCTTGCATAGGCCATTTTAGTCCACATCTTCCACTATGTAGTTCCATTAATATCATTGTGGTTTAACTTATGGCTATTGACTTAAATCTAGGTTTATGGTTAAAGCTGAATCAGTATGAGGTCTTAAATCAAGCTTAAAACTGGCACACTTGAGTATGTGATCTGCCTCTCCTTTTCAATGCTAACTTCATCCTAGAGACCTCATACCACTTGTTCTATTTGTTTGGCAGTGCAGAATGGCTCTGCAGTGACCCAAGACGGACAGCTGTAGGATTGGACTTGGATATTGAGGCACTTGATTGGTGCATAGAAAACAATGTAAACAAAATTCGAGCTGATGGGTACTCCAGATTATCCCTTTTCCATGGCAACGTCTTGCAACCTCTAGAGGCCACATTAGTCAAATTTGAGTGCCAAGATCCCATACCAGATATTACACCAAAAGATAATGAAGATGGTATAGATGCACTTCCATTAGATTCTACTTTACAGGGAAGCCCTATCACTTTTCCAAAGGTAAAGTTCATGAAGGACTATCAATTGCCTGCAAGAGATATTGTATGTGCTTTTAACTACAGTTGTTGCTGTCTCCATACTCGTCAAGAGCTGGTTTTATATTTCAAGCATGCGCTTAACGCGTTGAATAGGAAAGGTGGTATCTTTGTGATGGATCTCTACGGCGGAACATCATCTGAGTGTGAGTTAAGGCTGCAGAGAAGATTTCCTAATTTCACGGTATGTTACTTGAGCTAATGTAGTCATGATATTATAGTTTCAGTTTCTGGTACTTTTCTAAATTCCAGTTTAGAACCTTGTTTTTTAAAAGCTGAAAATTGGATGGGGATGTTTAAATTTTTTCGGTGATCATTACATTTTATTTTCACCACATCCCTGCTGCAACAGCATGTAGAGCAGTATTTTTTTTTTGAATAGGAAACAAAGATATTATTAATAAAACAAATGGATACAATACAAAATGGATAGCAGAGTTGGACAAGAAGTCCAACCGCAAAGCATTACACCAAAAAGGTGTTCCATGAAGATCAAAAAACAAACATTAAGAAAAATTATATTTGCCCACAGCAGTCCAATTCGCCATGATTCCAAAAAGAGGCATATTTGCAAACTTCTTAGAGGCTGAAGTCTAGAAGGAAGCTTAGAAAAATATGTGATTCCATAACCCTTCATTCACATTACACTTCTCCTAAGAGATTCTTGCTTTTCTCTCCATCCATACTACCCAGATTATGTCAAACATTCATGCCAAATAGTAACTCCACTACTCTTCCATCCAAACCCATTATAGTCCACACTCAACAAAGTTAAAATCTCAAACAACTTATTCCATAAGTGCCGAGCAACTAGATAATGCAAGAAAAGAGAATCCACACTCTCGCAATCATTGAGCAACTGGACAATGTAAGAATAGATAATCCACACACTCGCAATCATTCTTACACATAACACACCATTGAGGGAGATGACATTTACTTGATCTTCTCTTTTGGAGTACATCATTGGTATTAGTCTTCCCATGGGCCATAACCCATACACAGACTTTCACTTTTAAAGGCACCTTAGCCTTCCGAATCTTCAAAGATGGATAAAAAATGGGGAAAGAAGAACCATCAATCAAGGAATTAAAAAAAGATTTGCAAGAGAATAATCTTGTCGAGTCAATGACCCAACACTTTTATCCAAAGAATCGGAATGTAGTTGTGCCCTCAAGCAAAGATAGAAGTGAGCCTAATTCCACAATTTCCCTATCATCAAGATTTCTATGAAATCCAAAATTCCAAGACATTGATAAGATTGAGAACTTACCATTGAAGCAATACAAGCATCATGGAAATGCGAAAGACTATGATACCGGGATATAGCGAGTCTCACAACTAATAGAGCAGTATACTTCTAATGGATTATTAAAATAACGTAATTTGCTAGCGAGCCTTATAACAATAGCATTCCACACCCCTTGATGTAGGAAAAACCACTTGCTTATTATGCTTCTCTTGGCTTGATTTCAATTATCATTTACCTTCCTTTTCATTCTTAATCTCAAAGTGTATATATTTTTTTGACAAGTACCAAATTTCATCAAAAGATAAGGATTGATGTTTTATGTATTTGTTGATGCAAAAATATACATATAAGTATTCTTACAATAGTAAATTAATTTCTAACCTTATACAACATACACAAGGAAAGGGACTATTATGAAGTGTATTGCTAAAAGCTTGGACCGTCAAGCGTCAGAAAGGGGGTTTGGGTATGAAGTTACATTTGTACCTCATCCACCCCTCCAACACCTCATATTGGTTGGATCAATATTATTAGTAGCTTTTCTAGTGGCCATATATATGCACATGGAAATCTGTTCCTTTAATGCCCAACTAAGCATCCTTTTTATTGTTGCTATACTGTTATATTCTCGGTAGTGCTTTTGATTTAACTTGGCAAGATGTCCAAAACCTTCAAGCCTTGGTTTTGATTTTGCCAGATAATTGTAAGAAATTATGGAGTCAGCTGAAGTTTTCTTCAACAGATGAACAACTAAATCTTGCCTTGGGGCAACAAAAGAAACCGGATCAGCTGAAGGACCAACAACTATTACTTTAGTCAAATTGGGCTAGTTTACGCAGACTCTTAAAGTCGTATTGTCGTAATAACCCTGCTGACTGATATAACTGGGACCATGCAAGAAATATTTGATAGTGTACTCTCCCTCTTTTTGTTATTTGTAACATGCAGGAAGCCTCTTTATTGGTAGATCCACTTTTATTTTTCCCTTTTTTAATTCTAGAGCACTTGTTGATGCCAAAAAGAAAAAAAGAAAAAAAGAAAAAACGTATAAGGAAAGAAATGTTTGTTGATAGTGTAAATTCCATTTGGTTTTGATTCAGACTGAGTTTGATTATCAACTTCTTCCAGTATGTTTGGGAGCAAGCCGGGTTTGACATCATTCAGAGGAAAACGAGAATTAGCCTCCATTTTAATCTCACAAAGCAGCATAAAAAACTGCGCCATGCATTTTCCTACAGTTGGAGACTGTAAGTTTTCTCACGTCCGTGGGTCTCTCAGAATCTTTTCTATGGGTCAAATCTTCGGATTTAAGACGTGGTATTACCTTTATGATGCATGTTGCGTGGGGATATTTTATGTTTCCACCTTTTCTGTAAGCATTTCAAAAGGATGATTGCTGATATTCCCAGGTGGTCGTTGCCTGAGGTTAAAGACTGCTTAGAAGATGCTGGATTTCGGTCTGTCCACTTCTGGATTCGACGGATGCCAGACAGTGAGGAGATCAGAAGCGTGGAGGGATTTGGTGATAGTCGAGACACGAAATATGAAGATGTGGCAAGCTTTCAACAAAGAGATTCATGGAATGCATACATTGTTGGTGTTGCATAGCAACTAATTTGCCCCATCCTTGCCAATTTATCTTAGAACTACTGAAATTACCAGCAAATGAAGAAATGTAAGTTTCAAATATGCTTCAAATTCAGTAATCAAAGAGCTTCACTCCTCAACTCTATGTTTTTTGAAGCCATCTTTTCCTACACATTGATTCTGCATTCGACAAATAGGATTTAACCTTAAGTGCATCCTAAAGAAGCCTAAGTTGCCACTTATGGATCTTCTCGAGTGCTGTTGTAGAATGTGATACGGGAACTACTGTTTTTGTCCACTTTTTCATACCCAAAATGCAATTTGTATTCATCTCAGATACACACATGTTGAAGTTCAGTTGATTTTGGAACAGCCATGCATTAATCCTTGAGCTTATGTTCGACACCAGAAACTTTCGAAACACTATTGTGATGAATAGCTGAATCCGAATACGGTCTAATATGGCTGAAGATGATACGCGACCATTTTATAGGCAGCAATTACTCTACGTAGTATACTGCAGCAATTTTCCTTTGATATTGTGCTGGTCCTATAGTTTTCATTTTCTGGAGGTCATTAGCCGCCATCTGGTCGAGCAGTGTGGTTGTATGTTTTTCTTGTCTTTTCTTGTGGAGATGGTTTGAAGTGTAATCAATGGTAAGCTAGTGTAGCAGTAGTGGTTTTTTTTTTGCCGATTGTTAAGCGATGACAATAGGAAGGATTTGATGATGGAACTCATTCTTTAGTCGTCTCATCTTTGCCGGTACACTAAGATTGAGATTCCTTGGTAGGGGTGGGGGGAAACTAGCAGAAGAGTGAAATGGTTGCTTGGTTCCATTGAGGGTATTCTGAATTGTGAGAGGGGCTACAAATGAGGCACATGGCTTATAGATCGTTACACGACTTGCAGATTCTCTCTCTCTCTCTCTTTATATATATATATATATGTACACACACGCATATGTACATATACATGCAAATATGTCAAATGTGTTGGGTTAAACGGGTGATAGGTGAAAAACATGTAAATCTATACACGACAGGTCTAATAAATAGGTAAAAAATTTTAACATGAATACAAACAGTTTAACGAACAAGTAACACGACACGACGTGTTTAATTTGTTTAATTTTATTAAAATTATTCTATTAAAATTTTAATCAACACCAAAAAATTATTTTATTAAAATTTTAAAATATATTAATTACCCACAATAACTGCATTCTCTTAATTAAAAATTTTCATTTGGCTGCCCCTTGGAAGAGAAGGTTGAATAACTAAAGAAAAGGGTTGCAGTCTTTTATAGGCATGAGAGTTTTTCTTCATTTAAATTTGTCGATATGAGATTCAAGCGAAAAGCTTTCACTGTGTAGACCTATAAGGTATTCACTGTTTATTGTGCAGACCCACAAGATATTCACTGTTTTTTTTTTTTTTTAATTAAGATTTTTTTTTACTCATTTACCATATATTTGTATATAATATTTAAATTCTGACTAAATTTTTGAAAATAATTATTAATTTGTTATTATATTAATTTTTTAAACGGGTTGACAAGTCTCATTCAAACACGACCTGTTTATTAAACGCATTTTGCGGGTTAATAACATAAGGGGGTTATGTATATATTTTGAAAAGACAAAGGGGTGATGTGCACAATAGCCTAATCATAGGAGGGTTAAAAGAATTTTGCTCATATTATATAACAAATAATTTAGAAGTGCGAGGGCCTCGGAAGCCTTCTCTCCTCACTTCATAATTTCTTAGAATTTATAATTTTTTAATTCAAAACTTAAGACTTCACCCAATTAGACGATAACATGTGTTATTTGTAAACACCCTCGTCTCCCCCATAACCAACTCCTATTTTGTCAAATTGATTCAAATAAATTATTTTTACTGCCCAAAAACTTGTTATAATTATTTATCTAACTTCTCAAGTGATGATAACACAAAAAATTAAAGAATAAAAAAAATAAATTATATTTCCGTGCATCACTTCTATATATAACAAATAATTTAAAAGTGAGAGTGGACTTGGGAAGTCTTCCTTCCTCACTTTTTAGTTTCTTAGAATTTTGATTTTTTTTAATTCAAAACCTAAGACTCCTTTAATCAAATTCTACCATAGTAACTACCCCTTAACTCCTCAATAACTAACCACTATTCTTTTAATGTATTAAAAATTCACTTTTTATCACATTAAAACTCTTTATAATTGTTTATGTAAGCGGTGAAAATGTATTTACCTCTTTCGTTGGTAAATTGATATGGATTTTCAATGTTTCGCCCTCTCTTTCTTACAACACGAATAAACTACCTAGGACTAAAGTGTTTCGATTGAAGACATTCTGATACTTCAGTTAATAAGGGTATGAAAGAAATGTCTATGCAGATAAGGTTGAGCGTACTTTTTACTGTGCACTTTTGATCCTTTTTATAGTGTCATCCTTTTTGTTAGGGTTTCTATTATTGATGATGTAAGGTGATACACCTCATGCTTGTTAGGGATTACTGAAAGGAAAATTCTACATAATTCAAATAAAATTCTAAAATTAAAACCCAAATGTATATCATTCCTTGGATGAGTGTGAGATAAGTGGGCTCCATTGAAAAAATTGATAGGATTCACTCATCCAATGAATGATATGCATTTGAGTTACAAATTTTTATGTTTCATTTGGTTTTTTGTAGCATTGCTCTTATTGAAATCTCTCCAGATGCTTCTCCTGTTACCTAGCTCTTTCCGAGTCGATGATCGTGCTTGTTTGTTATACCTAAATCCCTTGATTGTAGGCACTCCTTCATAATTTAGTTTAAGGTTGTTCCGAGTAGAGCCTGGCCTTATCAAAACCAAACTCTTACTCCTATTACCAAACTCTTACTATTCCCCTACGTGATCTATCCTATCATTGTCTCCTACATGTGGCACAATTTAAACCCCTTCAGTTTATATAATTTCTCAACTAATAAAATAAAAGAAACTAAAAAAAATAACACGAATTATATAATTTTGTGCATCGTACAAGACGGACTACTAGTATTTTATAGTAATGCTATATAAACTTAAAATATTGACTTGTGATTGTAAGTTTCAGTATTTATTGAAACCCACTAACTATTCGATGATTATTATTGATCAAGTTAACAAATCAAGTCAGCATAGTATTTTCAAGTATTTTATATAAAAGGGCTGGTTATTACAACTCATGTAATTGGTAGCAAAGTTAAGTCAAATAAGACAAGGGAAATTAATTATTTTTTCCACAAATGAAAGAATTAGATACCTTTTTTTGCCAACCCCCATGTGTTCCTTAGAAACCCTCTTGCAAAGAGGCCATTTACAAGTCCCTATCAAATCAGTAGGTCAAATGTATACCACTACTATCATGCGGAGGTTTAAATCCAAAGGTTTTGCTGAAAATGATTTGCACGACTGAGACGACTTTTGCAAAAACACCTGCACAACCAACCCCCTCTCCCACTTTCCAAAAACTCCCCCAAAAACAAACCAATCCTCCTTCCAAGGACTCCCCCAAAAACAAGCCAACCCACCCTCCCCCCTACCACTTTCCAAAAACTCCCCCAAAAACAAACCAATCCTCCTTCCAAGGACTCCCCCAAAAACAAACCAACCCCCCCTCCCCCCTCCCACTTTCCAAAAACTCCCCCAAAAACAAACCAACCCACCTATATCCTTATTGGACTAGATTGGTATAAAAAAATATTTGAATTCAGTTTAAGAGGTATAAACAAGTTAGATTAATGAATTATTAAAATTATAATCCGCACTTTGTTCAATGAATTGAGATCAAATTCGGATTGAAAATCTAATCTAGAAGGTGCCATTGACGGGGTAGGAGTTATTTGCAGTGGGAGGACTATCTCTATGGTTGTTTTTGAATTAAAAAAACAAATAAAGGAAGAATCAAATCTTATCTTCTTTTTTTTTATAGCTAGTGATGAATTTCGAAACACAAAATCCATATATATATATATTTTTTGAGATTTTATGTAAATAATCAACCAATTGTGTTACAACTTACAGACATTTTTTTAATACTAATTAAAAGAGTTTGAAGTATAAATGGCTACGTATTTTTTCAATTCAAATAATTTATGAATATTGTTCTAAACTTACAAAAAGAGGGATAGGCTGCTATTATGTAATTGATGAGGTTCCCCCTAAATCAATCTGATGAAACGCCCAAGGACCAATAGAGGAGATGACGTAATTTAATAATTATTTTGTATTTTTTTATTTAAAAAAGCATCAAAATGCAATTCTGGTGCATATTACTTTGACCTTGTTAGGTGCATAATTCTTAAGAATTAGAATAAGAGATCCAATCCCACCGGTGAGAGCTTATTGAGGTGGTCGTTGGACACTCTTCTTTGTCTCTACCCCTAAGTAGAAAATTTATCAAAAAAAAAAAAAAAAAAAGAACAGGAGATCCAATGAATCAGGAAAGTCTTAGAGTGCACGCAGGGGTGTGACTAAGCAAATCATACTTTATGGTGGCATGGACATTGTCTCTCTCTCTCTCTCTCTCTCTCACACACACACACACACTCACAATGTGTGTAGAGGGAGGATTTTTTTTAAAGGTGCAACTCAGGCGGGTTGGACGAGTTGAAAGGTCAATCTTAATTCAATTCTAGATATATCATTCTTCAATCTTAATTCTATCTCAATTTGAGATACTCAACTTGAGTACTGTTCAAGGTTAATTCGGGTAGACTCGGGTTGAATTTAGATTACTTAATTTGAACTGATTTTTGGTTAAAAATAAGATTGAACTTAAAATTAATAGAACAAGAAGATGAAAACATCTTTCCAAGTATTTGACTGTTTTAAATTCTTGAAAAGGACGGCAATGGACAATGGAGATCCTCTTGTCTATTTTCTAGTGAAGTTCTTAATCAAGGTAAATGAAAAGGCACGAAGATTCCCCACATTTGACCTAAAACCTCTAGTTGATTTCTAGGTCTAGGGGAGGCTTTCTTTCACTTTTCCCCCTCCCCTCCCCTCCCCTCCCCACGGTTAAGGTGTCCGAAGTTCGATTAATTAAACACAAGTCCTTCGCATTGAAATTAAAAAATTCATGAGAGATAAATGTATCGTGGTCTGAATCTTGTTACTATTTGAGTTACCCCTAGGGATTTCTTTTGCTATCAATTTTAGCAATAAAGATACGTATACCATCTTATTTACACCACTTTTTATTTTTTATTTTTTGGGAGAGGGACTTGAACCTATGATTTTAAAAAGACAAAATCTTTACAAAACAAAGAGTATGATTAGACCAAAGACCCATTGATATTATTTACATCACTTGATGTGACATGATCTTAACCTTTAAATATTCAATAGATTCAACAAAACTCACTAATTTAATAGTTCATATTGAAGTGGTACAAAAAAAAAATAGTGTGTGTAGTAGCATTGTTGATCTATCTGGATGGTTGATCAATATACAAATATTCTTTTAGTATCATATTACAAATATTATTTTTTTGGGTGGACCTTTTAATCTATTGAGGAGTAAACTACAATTTTTTTTTTCTCGAGTTTGAGATTGATTTTAAAATGTTAAGATCTATTCTCCCAAAATATAGTAATTTCACCCGGAAATTATGTAACTTGAGGCCAAAATTTGTATTTCTTTTTATAACAAACTCCAAAATATTAGGATCATCTAAACTTTTTTGTTATATATTTTACTCTAAAGTTTGTATTTTGACCCAAAAGATGGTAAATTTCGATACATTAACTCATGCACTACTAAATTCAAATTGTTATGATTTATTTTTCTCGGTCGATTACCCATCAATTGTTTTTAATTAAAAGCTGGGTGATTGATTGATCCTTAAGAGATATTTAAACAAAATGTATTAGAGAATAAAAATAAGTCTTTTTTAAAGAATCAGGACCTCACGCAACTCCCCCAACATTATTATTATTATTATTATTTTTTCACCTTTATTTAATAAAAAAAATCAGAAACATTGGAATCATAAAGCATACAGGTGAAGGTGACATAGTTTAAATCGACCCAAAAGCCGGATACACCTGGCCAGATCGCTGTCTAGTTAATTGCTCCCCCCAAAAAATGTATAATTTACACATAACCTCCCAGAAGGCAGAAACAACTTGGTTTAACTTATTTTGTGTACATTAGCATATACCAGCTGTGCCAGTCACTCACTTTGTTTCTTGTTTAAGTCCCAAAAATTATTTGAATTACTTTGTAACAATAACATAAACAACATCTACTAGACTTTGCAATAGTTGTGGAATTTGGGTATGTTATATTATTTGTCATAGTCCCTAGAAAGTGATATTTGGTTGGTGAGAGGTTAAGTTTGAATCTTATGAATTTGACTACGATTTAGAAAATGAATTCCTAATCAAAATAGATGTAAGATGAGAATCGAGTAAAATAAGTCCGATTATTTTATTTGCTGGCCACAGAGATCTCAATGTTCATGCGTCGGGGCTTTAGAGTTACACGATAATGCATGATGAGAATTGAGTGATTTGAATTTGATAATCTAATTTATTCACGTGTAACAAGGCCCATAGGTGATCGAATCTTGATTCCTCAATGTTTCTTGTGTTGTTGTTTTGAGTATAAATTCATCTTTGAATTTCGATCCAAATACAACAAGAATGTCACAATAAACTCATGACCTATCTAGTAAGATCAAAATCTTGAATCATAATCAAGAGAGTTTCACAAGAAGAACAACGTGCATGAGAAATTGTTTCTAACAACTTTCCCTCATATTAGTTGTATGATCAATCTTCACAACAAACAAAAAGTTCCTTCTCTTACTTTGGATTAATCATCTCTATGATTTTTGTTATTTGAGTTTAAGTGAAATTCATTTATTTAATAGGATTTTGCAAATTTTAGTGTGATTGATTTATAGTAATTGAAAATAAAATAATAAAAAAAAATTTCGTTTATAGTTAAGATATAGAAGTACGGTTAGGAGCGTTAAAGTTAAATTATGACACAATCTTTGAACATGTTACGAAATTGAAGAATTTGTATTTTTCATAAGTTACTTGTTTTGTAAATGAATGGACCTGACACGATATATTTACTAAACGAATTGGATATGAGTAAAACTAATCAAATAAAATATATGACACAATTCGTTTATATATCGATTAGACATGATTCATATACACAACGTAAACCCGATATGATTTGATTCGTTAGATATAATTCATAAACGAATTGAATATGAATAAAATATTTTTTTGACATGAATTCGTTAAGTCCTATACAATCTCATTAATAAATGATAACGACTGCCCAGCAAAACCATTCTTCAAAGTTGAATTACCATTTTTAAACAGCTTCTCTGTATTCGATCTGCAAACACACCTTCTCAGTGCGACCCCCCTTAGTACCACACTGGATATAACAGTTGAGCAACACCCCTATTTAGATTCCAAATTCCACTCCGATCAAAACCCATCTTCCCTCTCTCTCTCTCTCTCTCTCACACACACACACACACACACACACACACAGAGATCTCTGTCACTTCTCTTCACATACCCATTTCATATATGCCCAGATTTTGTTCTTTATATCTATAGTTGAGCTATATATAGCTCAATCTTACACTCCACCGTCGGTACCTCTGTGCTTAATTTTCCTTCACAAGATCCAAACTCTTCAACAGCTTAGGGTTTAGACTTCAGATATTACCCATGTGTAACGCTTATGTGTAATCACTGAAACATGAATCAGAATCGAACCCGTCTTATTTCTTCAAAATTTCTACACATCATTTCCCACAAACTATAGCCAAAAAGTTCAATCTCTCACCTTCCCACCACTCATATCTCCCATGAAGCGCTCTTTGCGGCCACTATTCAGCTTATTGCTGTTCATTGTCGTCGCCGCCACTCTCACCTGTAGAGTCATGCTCCGCCGTGACTCATTTCAGCTCGAAAACGACAAACCATTGGTCCAAAAGCCCACAAAATCAGTACTCAACGCGACCCTTCTCAAGTTCGCCGCCATTGACATAGGGGAACCCCAGTTGAAGAAAGAAATGGAACTCTTATTGGAAGGTAGGTTCGAAAAAAATGGCCGCCAGAGGTCATTCTTGTCCTCTGATAGATATCCTATTGATATTCGGGCTAGATCAGCTAGAGGCATGCCGGTACAGCTCCAGTCACCGCAGTTTTACAGACTATGGTTGGATTTTAGGAGGTATTTACAAGATTGGTCAAGAAATAGAAGGTTTCAATCTGATATTATGTTGGATTTGCCTAATTTAGTGAAGGGTCCAATTGATAATTTCAGTGGAGCAAAGGGTGTTGGGGGAAAATATAGGACTTGTGCTGTTGTGGGAAATAGTGGGATTTTGTTGAAGACTGAGAATGGGGAGTTAATTGATAGCCATGATGTGGTGATTAGGCTAAACAATGCCAGGATAGGGAGTTTCGAGCGCAATGTGGGTTCAAAAACTAGTATTTCGTTTGTTAATAGTAATATTTTGCATTTCTGTGCTCGAAGGGGAGGTTGCTTTTGCCATCCATACGGGGCAGATGTACCAATTGTTATGTATATATGTCAACCAAAGCATTTCTTGGATTATACTTTGTGTAATTCTTCACATAGAGCACCTTTGGTTGTCACTGATCCACGGTTTGATGTGTTGTGTTCGAGGATTACGAAGTATTATTCATTGAAACGGTTTGTGGAGGTGACAGGGAAGGATATTGAAGGGTGGCCATCTGCCCATGATGGGCTGAATTTCCATTACTCTTCAGGTATGCAGGCTGTTATGCTTGCTGTGGGGATTTGTGAGAAAGTAAGTATTTTTGGGTTTGGGAAGTCAGATTTGGCTAAGCATCATTACCATACTAATCAGAAAGGTGAGCTAATGTTACATGATTATGAGGCGGAGTACGATTTTTATCATGATTTGGTGGAGACACCACAGGTAATACCATTTATCTCCGGCAAGTTCAAGTTTCCTCCTGTTGTTATGTATCAATGAAGTGCTCTGCTTTTGTGGAATTAGTTGAGTGTTTTGTTGAACTCATGTTGTAACGGTTGTGTCCCAAGGACAAACAGAGAAACAACAGATGCTGAAGAATTCTGTTTCTTATTCAAATACTCTTCTATCCGAGATATTAAATGTAAATTTGATTTTGAGGAATGAATTTTTGTACGATTTGTTGTGATTCGGTTTCCATGAATTTTGGGTACCTCTTTGTTTGAAAGATAAACTTATCTCATTCAATTGTCATGTGAATTGCACTCTCTTGTCATTAGGCTTATTTAATATCCCCGGATGGTCATTTTTTTTTGCTTCCTTTTTTTCATTAGTCATTTGGAGGGTTATAGCCATTATATTTGGGATAAAACTGGATATGCTCTAGGTGAATAAAATTTACTTTCATGTGACGTTGTTACAACTTCGATTGTTAATTCCCAATTCCAATTGTTCTAACTTGTGCGATTTGTCTTTTAACTTAACTAGAAGCTCAACTTGATAGGAAAGTGCATTGACAAGGTAGTGTTTTAACTATTCAAGCAGTTCCCTATCATGTTTCCAAATGGTTTTTTAGTTAGACATGGTGTGACTGCTTCACGGGAGTATTTTATGGCCAAACTTTGAAATATGTCGAGACACATGCACAAGGACATCAAATATGTCATACTGGATATCCTTTTATGGCATGAAGGCCCACAAACTCTATACCTTGATAGTCATATATTTTGAACATTTGATGTCCTTGACGGTGCTGGAAAATAAAAGATGCCAGTATGCTGTACTTAAGCTTAAGAGGGTTCGGCTCATCTTGTAATTGAACATGTCCTGATCAGAGTTTGCACTTTCCCTGGAGAGAAGGTACTGCAGTATTTATGCCGGTGATCAGTTTTATTGCCTTAACTATTTAGGTTCAAGACAATTTCCCCCCTTAATGTTCAGATTTAGTGGCATTTTGTTCCCTTCTTTTTGGGCGTCAATTTCTTAGGAGTTTGACCACATTGCTCTTTTTGGCATTTTGGGGAGCTGGTCTGCTGTTTGTGGCTGTTAGAAGAGTTTTTATGTTTTTATGCTTGTAACCTTATAGGGGACTGTTATTTCTTTTTAGCTTAAGGATTGGACTACTTGTCCATCATTACTCTATTATTGTACTACCTTTTCTTATTATTAATAATATCTTTTGTTACTTATCAAAAAAAAAAGAATTACGACGCAAGTTTCAATTTGTTAAGGTGTCCAATTGTAAACCTCCATCCAAATATTTAACCGAATCAAGCAATTCAAGCCAATTGAAACTAGAATTTCAGACCGAAAAGCCAAGACTATGCAAACACAAATTTGAAACTTTTGAGGTTGGAATGCTACGGTTTGAAACATCACCAGGTGTAACCTTTAACAGTAAGGGTAACTTAAACTAACTAATCCATGTCAATATATCTGTGTTATTTGTTGGCCATGTAATTATTCTCTCAGCGTCCAAGTCTATTTTATTTGAATAACCTAGATAGCAGGCAGTTAGCGATTAATGTAGCAAAACAAATGTAAAATGGCTGTGTTACCACAGACATAGTTGCTGTTTGAAAAACTTGCCCCCGTTGTTCTGTTGTTAAATTAGAAGGGTTTCTGAATATGATTTCTTTTTCCTAGCATCTATTAAATGTATGCTTTATGCTAAAAGAATTTCTGCATTTTCAAAACTTGAGTGGAGAAAAGGTAAGAACAAGAAAAGGAGGAGATAGCAGTTATATTATATCCTAGTCCGGTGTGGACACCCTATTTTCTGTTGATATCCGAGTAAATTGTGCAGGAAACTGCCTAAGGGACAGCAAGTGAAGATTTGTACCTCAGAATGCCTTATAATTTGAGACTGATTTTCGTACTATATTGTGGCATTCTATGATCATTCAAAATGTTTACATCCCCCTTGAGCATGGGAACTTCAATATGTTGGATCTTGCTGGTCTCTATAGCTCCTATTGAGGATATGCATTCTATAGTTTTCATCTATTGAATTTGAAACAGAGTATCAACAGTTTTGTCATGTGGTTTGTAGACCACTGGACACCACACACAACATGAATACATCTATATTAGCATGACCTTCAACATAAGGACCTTTAACTTACCTTAAGAGTGTGCTGGCTCAGATGTTAGAGGTGGGATAGTACTAAGTTAGTCCAGTGATTACTTACTATTAGGTTTGAATCATGTATAAAGTTTGGTGATCTCAATGATTTTGTTAATACTGGCTTGGGTGGGTATTAAATAAGGCCAGATTTGTATCCATATCTAGAATGACAAGAGTATCTCTGACAGGCCAAAGGGTCATGAAGTCTGGTGCATTTTGTCTCCTAGAGAACATGAAGAAGGTAAAATATTTTGAGTCTGGTTGGATCCATCTGCTAGGAAGATTGGGAAATATTTTTGTGAGCTTTCTGTTTTCCTAAGTAGAAATAATAAGATAGATTACAGTAAATATCCCTCAACTCTTATTCTAATCTCACTTAGCCCTTTATGTCTCACAATATTCCCAAGAGAATGACATGGTCAGTTAGATTTTTGGGTACCTATGAAACCAATAACATAAACCAACAGCTCATGGCAGCTAAACTGTCAACGTAAATTGCAAAGCAATACGAGGATATGAAACAAACAACTGTAAGAGCAACTTTAAGTGGCTAATATTTTGCATATTATAGGATCCTTTGCAAATTCATCGAGAAGTTGTACGCATGATGTCCGACAGTTTTTAACATCTGAGATTTTTCGGTCTTGTATCAAAATCACTTTGATTTTGAGAGTTTCTTGCATGTGATTTTTACACAGACGGAGGAGAGTTTCATAGAGAGAGAGAGAGAGAGTTAGACCTTTAGCTAATATGTTATACCTAAATGGTGTTTGATGAAATGTATGAATAAAAATTTAATCATTGTCACATAAAATTTGGATGATAACAATGGACAGTAACAATGAAAATGCATTGTCACTATCACTATTACTGTTTAGTTTCGTAGAATTTGGACTGTGAAATTTGTCACTGTTGTTATGTTACTGTCGCTGTTGTTGTCCATTTCGTAATATACCTAATCATGTCATTAAGGATAAAATAGTAGCCGAAAAGAATAGCGCCTAACAGTGACAATAAAAATTTATTATTACTATTTCAATATTACTGTCCTATGTTACCTGGCCATTACTATTACTGTCTCACTGTTACTGTTTATTTCGTAATATAGTTATTTATATCATTAAGGGTAAATTAGTTTTTATGCATTTAATTGTCATCTAAGCCCTAAAAAATATGTGCATTAACTAATTGTCTTAAAAGTCCACAACTGTAGACCCACCTCTAAATAACCCTTTGAAAAACTACTATTTAAATTGGGTCAGTCTGGCCCCAAGCTTGGACTTCTGACCCAACATAGTGTCGGACCATTTTCTGCCTAAGCCCAGCCTATGGGGACCAAATATGACCCTAACTCATATGTAAATGTTTGTATATCTTTATATTTTATAGAAATGTATCTACAAATAAGGAGAGGACTCCAAACCTGATTCTCTAATTTTTTGAATTTTTAACTTCAAAATTTTGGAAAAACTTATGTGGCTTCTTTTTATTGGTCCTTCTAATTTTTGCTTGGTAATTTAAATTCTCCCTTTAGATAAGAATAACTCTGTTTTTAAATTAATAGATACCTGTAATTTTTAAATTGCCCACATTTCTTCACTTGTAACTCTCCGTTCCATATATTATCAAAAAATAAATCTTCACTCATTGACGTCTCTCTTTTCAATTTTCAAATCTCCCGTTCATGCGTATCCCTTTTTTTGTTTTTCAATGATGAGATGTAACAGATATGAGAGTGAAATACAATAATGGAGTTATGTTTTTAATTATATTAGAGTAAGATGGATCTGTTCCGTTTTTTAATGATGAGATGCAACAGATATGAGAGTGAAATACCATAATGGAGCCATGTTTTTTTATAATATGAAAGTAAGATGGATCTTTTCTTTGATGGTAAAATGAATGAGCTGTGGATGATGTGTGTATTTGATGCAGAATTTGGTGGTGATAGGAGTTGATGCCATCATCTAGACTAGGTCCATATTTTTTACCAATCAAAAAGGTAGTTTTAGTAATAGTCTAATTTTACCTTTCCATTAATTTAGTAGAATGTTAAAATTCTTATACCTTATTCTCAATGTTTCGATGTGAATACCACTTTTTGAATAGTGGGTTGGCATCTATTAGATATTATCATTCTAGAGTTAGTGTTACTACAATTATTAAGCATTCCCGATATCCAATTAATGATATTGACAAGTTGTTTTTGTTATGACTCTATTCTTTCTTTCACGCTCCAATAAAATTTTAAATTATAATTAATAAGGTGTAACAAGCAGCGAGTAATTATAATTACAGTAGTATAGCTTATGTTGTTTTAAAGCTTTCATTTTAGTCACATATCTGGAGATGAGACTATGTAAATTTGGAAAAGTAAAGATATCATTGATTGTTGCAAAAAGTGCAAGTGTAGAGGGGCATGCCCCTGGTCATGCATAATAGTTAGGTAGCCCCAAACAATGAGAAATTTTTTTTGTTCTTACTAGGCACCATTTGTTTTTTTTTCATCACATTGTCCTGTGTGATGACATTTGTTTTTCAAATTTCAATTCAACCATTATGTACGCATGGGGAGAGACTTTTAAGCTAAAATTGCTGAAAGAAAATTGTATGATGATATGGGTCTTTCTTTTGTCTTGTCTGTCTATATTTTTAATAGATTATTCCTGTTAATTCTGTAATTTTTCTATGAAAATTAATTTCGTCGCATCATATTTCTGTGGGTTCATGAGACCATTTTACTATACCCACGTGGGTAGTGGGAACTATTCTTCAATATTAATTTATTTGTCTTTTTCAGAAGAGCGATTATTTTGTTTGTCTTATGCATGCTTGCTAGAGCTCAACATATAAACCATTTGTTGATAGGGGTGTATAATTTGTAAGACACAATTTTCATCTTTTTTTAAAAGTTTTTATCTCATACAAACGACTTCACTAATTATTTTTTCTTCTAATGCGGTGCTCACATAATTGAGGTTGTTGGGGAGAGGTGGAAGTTAGAGGGCTGGCATGGTGGTTTTTTTTTTTTGGAGGAAGGGGAGCAGGGGTGGTTGTTTAGATAGAGTGTTTAAGGGGCGGTTGTTGAGGGTACGTGCATTCAGACGTGTGAGAATGAAGTATGGCGTGTTAGGGAAGAGTGAACTTAGTGGACTTGTAGTGGTTAATTATCAGAATTAAGTTATTTAGATGAAATATAAGGGATGTTTATGATGTAAAAAGCATTTGAATACTTGAAAATTGTACAAGTGTGAAATACATTTGGTGATGAGAGATAGAAATTATTGGTGATTATGAATTATTTAGTATTATCTGTGCTAATAATAACGAAGTGTGAAATACACCCATAACATAACATTGTGCTTTAATTTTGCACAGTTCTATTCCTTTTTCGAATTCGGAATAGTAATAGTGCAATGGTCCTCTCTCTCTCTCTCTCCCCTGGGCGACAAACCATGGTGGCGGACCCGGCTCCTCCTTGACCATTATCTTCAAAGTTAAACAGTTTTTTCCAACACCTTTTCATTTGGTCAAGTCTACATAAATTTTAAAAAAAAAAAATCAAATCTCTCTCTCTCTCTCTCTCTCTCTCTCTCTCTCTCCTCATAATCTGTATTCTGCTCTTTCACACACAATCAAAGGCTTGCTGGGTTTTTTTTTTGGTTTTTGAACAGCGCTTGTTGGGTTTTCAAAGTCTTCATATGTTCGACTAGTAGTATAAGATTGACCACCCACTTATAGTAGGAGGAGGCAATCATTCTCTCAAGTGAAGGATATACTTTGAGTTAGTTGTGGGTTCATTAAATAGTTGAGGCCTCCAACATAGACTAGCCTTTTTGTAACTTCCCCAACTTACCTCTGGAAAAGTTGTGTCAAGAGACAAAAAGTATAAAGGAAAAGGTGTGTGGCGTTCATACCGCATTAACTTGCAAATCTAGAAGTACTCCCTCTTGCTGAACAAGTCGAGCTACTGCAAATACGTTCTCTTTTGGGTATTTAATCAGGGACGTAACCCATTTTCAATTCAACAAATATGCTTAATCGTCAATTTATTTTGCTTGGATTGGACCTTGGTGCTAGAAATACCAACAGTATTCAAATTTATTTCATGTATTCGAATTGAGATATATATATATATATATCTCAAATTCAAATTCACCTAAAAGTTTAAATGTGTAGGTAGAGTCCATCCAAAATATTCAAAGGTCCATTAACATATTTCACCCTTGGATTTGGAATTCCACACCTGATACTTAGCCAATCTTCCTTGCACGTAAACTCTTTTTTAGGTACCACTAAGTAGGATGGTCTAATAGAGTATCGACTTGATTCTTCACCTTGAAGTTGAGAGTTCAAGTCTTGGAGTCCCTATTGGGACTTGGTGGTTGGCCGTTATGCTAGCCTAGGTTTACTCCCGAGAGGTGTTCCAGGTGTGGTCAGGGGTCTTATGATCCCACCGGTGAGGACCTATCGAGGTGATCGCTGGACCCTCTTCCTTACCCCCACCCTTTTTTTTAACCAACAAAAAAAAAAAAAACTCTTTTTTAGGTATGATTTGCCATTCCCTGTAAGCACTATGTCCAAAACACTATTTTTAAAAGGGAGTTAGCTCACATATGGCCCTTAAACTAAATTATCTATGTTAATTAAGTCATTGAATTAATTTTTGTATCAATTTAACTCCTAAACTATGTAATTTACCTCAATGTAATCCGTTCGTCAAAATTTACTATTAACTTCAACAAAAAGACTCACGTGAGCCAAAGATTAGGGTAGTTAAAATTATACATGTGAGGCAGTCCGTTAAAGTTAAAAACAAATTTAGACAGAAGAACCACATCAACTCGGATTGCATAGTTAATGAGCTAAATTGACATAAAAAGAAGTTCAAATGTTTAATTGACACAAAAAAACATAATTTAGGGCTATTCGTATTAGTTAACAAATTAAAAGACTACAAATTTGCCAAAAACCACTCTTCACAAAGACTATGTCCGAGTCGCTCTTTGCAAGAGTCTGCCCATTACCTTCCTTAAGAGTCATGTGTGGAGAGTTTACTTAGGGTTATTGGCCATTAATTTTGATACCAATTGTTCGTATTGGCGAAATTCCACATCTGATATATATTTAAGACTCAAATTCACCTAAAAACTTAAATCTGTTACAGTGAGTTCATTCACAATATATTAAGGTTCCTTCAAGTATTTCTTTTCTCGATCTATAATTCTCTCATGTGATATCTCAAGTTCAACAAGCGATTTTATTTTCTTGAAAAAACATATTCGCTGTTATTGATTTGATAGAATTGCATATGTTCAAAGTTGGAGAAAAACTGGCAAAACACAAATTGAGTACCAAAGCGAGTGTCATGTAAATCTTTAGAGATAAAAACTATAATTAGCTCAAAATTGAAAACATAAATTGGAGGGATAAGATTCTCACAATTGGAACTTCAGGATCAAAGTGCCACCATGCAACCATTTACAAACTATATCTCTATACTAAGAGAAAGATGTATCCTCTCTGTATATGAGAGAGAGAGAGAGAGAGAGAGAGAGAGAGAGAGAGAGAGAGAGCATTGTTGTAACATATAAAAAAAACACAGTGCATATATTAAGAACACCAGTTTAGCAATGAAGCAGACAAATTTTCTCCATTAGAGAGATTACAACAGCTGGAACATGTTGGACCTTCTTTGTATTGCTAAGTGAGAAGAAAATTCATCTGCTTCACGACTTCAAGGCAATCAACTTATTACCAAACCATTTTGCAAACATTCTACAAATATTATTATGGCTCACCACCCAGCAATTGCTCCCTAGCAAACCGCTCTCTATATGCTTCCTGCGACAACACTTGAGAACTTTTTGTTACGGAGCACAAGCTTGGATGAACTTACTAACATAAGCATTTCTTCAAGAAACGGAAAATGAAAGATATCACCATGAATGTTCAGTGGCGAGAGTCTCGTACATTGGACCGCAGCGAGCATTTTCATCTTCGGAGCCTGTGATGCATTCTTTCTCATCTTCAAACCCTTCAAGAGAAGGGTGTGGAGAGTGACCATTTCCAAAAGACCTAATGTGGTCCTTGAGTGATCTTTTGTGCTTGAAATCGGAACCACAAGTGCAATACCAGAGCTTCCCACAATTCTTCTCATGGGTTCTCCAATCTCCTTTGACAGCAAATGATTTCCCACATTTTCTGCACATAAATGGTTTAGCCCCATGCTTTCTCTTGTAGTGGGTTTGAAGGGTTCTGAAATCCTTCAGTGGCTTGGCTCTCGGGTGGTTGATGTTGTTCTTGCAGCCTTGAGCACAACAGTAACAAGGTAGCCTCAGCATTGCTGCTGGTTGTGTTCCTCTCAGTGATTCTGGTCCTTTTCTGAATTCAGAGCCATGCCCCCACATATGCATCTGCAGTGCACCCAGAACAAAATGAACTTTCTCTCTATTTTTTGAAAGAGATTGTATAGGTTTGACACACCACGCACAAAGTGATGAATGAAGGTTTTTTAAGAAAATGTACAATTTCTAAGTGACTATGTACATCACCTGACACTGTCAAGTGGTGTGGTGTGTTAAACTCACACAAAAATTTCTCTAAATATAGAGGCCATCTACGCCCTGCTAACCGGAAGGAAAGGAAGTAGAAAAATGATAGAAGAAAAGTAAATGATGGACTTTAGGATTTATGTGATTGAAATTTTACTTTTCTTATATTTTCATTACTATCTCTCTCTCTCTCTCTCTCCCTCTCTCTCTCTCAATAATTTTAGTTTTATTTTTCCTACAATACTAAAATTTTGTCAAAGTTTTAAATATGAAAGCTACAATGCTTTGCTTATGAGATAGAATTTTCAACTACTAGATCTTGCTATCTGTCACATTATGGATCTTAACATAACACCACATTATGGTCCATCCCATTTATTACAGGACAGCATCATTAGATTTCACACACAATGTTGACTGAAGAAACGAGAAATGCTTGTCTAGTTGCTCCTTTTTTTTTTTCACTGTCCTCCGCTGAATGCTTTTGACAAACTCATTTAGTCATCATCCAGTTGCAAGACAATCCTTTTTTCCCTCTCTCTCTCTCCCCCACTAGGATTATTTCACACCTATAAACAAAATGTTCTTGCAGATTTTTTTCACAAATTAATTTGTAATGGATTATGTTCTAAAAAATAAAAATAATTAAAAACTTGATGATTCCTAGGCTACTTAGAAAACAGATAAGAATCCAGAAACAACAACAAAATTGAGGTAAATCTTCAACTTGCGTTATATGTCATGCATTTATCATCATTTAGTAAAAAGGCGACCCAGTGCACAAGGGTGATTTGTCACCGTTTAGTGTTAAGCAGTAGTTAGTAGTTCAAAAACTGAAAAAACTCAAAAAAATTTGTAGACGAAGAATATTGATAGAAATTGCAAGCCGGTCAATGTGTTCTTCAATTTATTATTTATTAAGTACACAACAGAGTAATAAGCTTTCTAAATTTTTATCATGATTTTCATTTTTTCCTGGCTATAATTTAGAATAAATATTTGAAATTCAGTGAATTGCCAATCCAAACTAATTCTAAGGTCAAGTAGTTTTATCTTACCTGCATGTTGTTGTACCTATTGAAGGTCTTACTGCATATGGCACAAGCAAACTGCATCGGTCCGACGAGGATTTGTGCTGGTGTTGGGATCCAAAACCTACTCTCAGTGTTGAAACTGCAGCCATGAAAACTCTTCTTGCAGGGTTCTTCTTCCTTGACACTGAAGGGCTTTGTTTTTGCTTCAGAATTTCCTGTGTTGGGCAGTCCTATATGCAACCCCACTGCTACTTTCTCTGTCTTATCTTCTTTAAAACCAGAGCTCTCCTTTTCCTCTTCATCATCTGCCTCCTCTTTCAATGGCTTTCTCTCAGTTAATTTGCTTAGAAGAGGAAGACATTCAATTGTCTCATGAACAATTTCTTGCTGCTGATGAGGTTGTTGGTAATAAAGAGGAAGTTTCAAGAAGCTCATGGTGTTTGTGAACTGAACTTGTTGGGTGATAGTAGGTGACGATGAAGAAGAAAATGAAGATGATGATAAAGGAGAAGGTGATGGCTTGAGCCATTCAATGAAGGGTGGAGCTTCAAAGCACAAATTCATGTCTTGGACATGGCAGTTTCTTATTCCCATCTTGTGAGAGTTCTTGTAAGTCTCTCCTCTGATGGTTTATATTCAGACTTTATGTGAGAAAGAAAGCACTTAAGGTTGATTTGTGAAAGGTGGTTTGGTTTGTCCTTTTGGGAACCTTTTTTTTTTCTTTTTTTTTTTCCTTTGTTTCTTTTCTCCCTTTGGCCTTTGCACAGAGAGAGAGAGAGAGAGAGATTAGTGGTGGGGTTAGGGAAAATGACGTGCAAAATTCAGACTGACTCCATAAAGAGAATCCTAGAATAGTCGTGACATATGTAAGCTCAGGTTGGTTGGGTTATACACCTGTAAATAATAATGCCGCTTCGATCAAACTAATTAATCTAATTTACTTTTATTATTGGGTGGACCATGAATTCTATTTAATACTGAGATATTTGTGACAATAATGAATTAGAACTGTAAATTAGATCCGAATAGAAATTAGACTATATTTTCAAATATTCACTTCTTGCCTTGTCAGTTGGGGTAGTTATGTGGTGGAATTTTACCAACGAGCACACATAGTACATTGACATTGGGTCCAAATCCTCAAATGAGGGAAAAAGAAAAAGCAATTAAGGGTAGCAATTAGTCAATACCTAAAAGAACAGAAGACCAATATAAAAACAGAAAATAAATTACTAACATGTGAAAACTCTATTATTTTTGGTTAAGATATTTCAAAATGCAACTTTATACCCCACAAAATTCCTTTTTTTTTTTTAATGGGGAAAGGTAGCTATTTGGTTAACTGGATATACTTTTATTCAACATAAGCTGCTGAATGATCCTTTTTCTCCTATAATATGATGAAAAGGAATAGATTAAATGGTATACCATCATTTTATGTTTTTTTTTCTCAGTCAAGGTCTCATTGTATTTTATGAATGGCATAATTTTCCAAAATAAAAAATAAAAAATTCATCATGATAAAAAAGAATTTAGTAAACCATGAGATTAAACAACAAGAAAAAGAGTTCCAACCAATTCATATTTCAATTGGCATATTGCCTTTTGTTGAGGGAGAGTAGCAAAATATTATTAACCAAACTCAATTAGGGTTTGCAATTTTTCAATCCACATAACAAAATTACAACCAACATCTATTCAAAAGATCGAAGAGTGCAATAATGGGCGTTTGATATACATGTTTAGAATCTAACTTTATCTAAAAATAAAAGATTATAGATAGTGAGTTCATTGAACATATATTTACATTGTTTTTTACACTTCTCGAAGTCTGACATTCACACGTAAGTTCAACAATGTTAATGTATTTTGACACATGCCAGCTAAAGTATAACTAGATCAATGCTTCTCAAACTAGAGCTCACAATGGCAACTAACAAAGTAATCCCTTGGTTCAGTAATCTCCATCCTCAGATGAAGTCGAAATGATGGTCTAATTAAAGTCCAAAGCTTACACTTATCAAGCATTTCAAACACACTTCATCAAGTAATGTATGATCAGGGCACCACAATCCTTCCCTTCAAGTTTACACGCTCTCATGTGGGAATTGTCCGAACAAGGTGCCGTGTGATTCTAGAAGATGCCTCCCACCACGTTAGGTGTCATCGCCCTATCAGATTAGGACTCAGATCACATGACATACATGTCATGAAGGTCAATGACTCTGATACCAAATATAGCATCTCGAACTCACATTGTATAACATTATTTATTTTGAGCTAGTACCACAAAGCTTTCATACACGTTGTGCCATAGAGGTTTAAATCTTTCATTTACAAACAATTCACACACACACACACACACATCGCGGACAACATGGAATTTGGCCCCCACAAACATTCGGCTCAACCTTTAGCAAGAGAGTAATCACAAACTTCTGCTTGCATATATTTATTTGTTAGCTAGTAGTCTCCCAAGCTCAATGGATGACCCCACTTTTAATTATGAATGATAATAATTAAAATTTAAAAATATTTGAGTGAAGGTTTACCTAGTAGTCGCCATTTCTATCTCCATTAAATTCTGAATGATAAAACTATTAAGTTCACCCTTTCTATATCTACTCCACTATTAACTATTCTCATCCCATTCATTCTTTACCCACCCCACTAATGACTCAAGTTATCTCAATCTTTACCTAAGGGCCGGTTTGATATGTTTTTTGAGAGGGGTTTGGATTGGTTTGTCCAAACCCTTTCAAATCCAAAGATGAGATTTAAAAATGGAATTTAACATTTAATGTTGTACATACCTATGTTTGGTATAAGCAGATATAAATGATTATTATGATAATATATTTGTATATAAATGATTATTGTACCTCTTAATCAATATAAAATATATGAGAGGTATAAATATCATTTAGATGTTAAATCCATTAACCCATATATGAAATCCATTCCCATGGGTTTCATGAAACCCATCTGGGCTGAATTTCAAACCCTGGGCTAGATGTGTATTTGTCAAACATGGGTTTGAGAGGGTTTATTCCCCAACCCATGTTCCAAAACTCCCCCAAACTCATATATCAAACAGGCCGTTAGAGTTTCTTTCTATATCACATTCCACGCACCCTATACAACAATATACTTAACTTGATCATCTCGTTTAGATCTCTAAAGTTATGTTCAAGTTAGTATTTATTTTATTCGTAAACTAGTTGTTGGTATCGCAGCTGCTTCAAGACTTAAATAACCTCTTTTATGACTTTTGTGTTTTAGTTCATTGCACAAGTTGAATTTAGTCATTAATGAGATGAGTATAAAACGGGATGAGCTTAGCCAGTCGTAGGATGAATATAGCTAGGATGAGCTGCATAGTTTTAAAATTGGGAAGTAGTTAATGGGATGAGAAATGATATTTTTGGGTGGGAGTAGAACCCCATCCAATAATTTATTAGGTCCTCAAATCAAGTCTCTTAAGTAAACACTAATACTATTGGAACATAATTAAAAAACATAATTTGAAAAAATCATAAATTGTGACCATTGAATTAATAGTGGAATGCATTTAGTATTGAGACCCAAATTATGTTTCAATAATATTGCCGGTAGGCAAAATAGTATTGTTGACCACAAACATCACCGGTCAATGCAAACCATATGGTCCCTATTCTTGATCAAAATTTTCAGGTCAATCTATCATTACTCCCTAATTATATCATGAAATCACTAAGATAAATATTATTTTGCTCCCTAAAAGATTTAAGAAACTTTATTTTGTATTTTCAAAAATTAGATTATATTTTTAATGTATTAAAAGTGTTACAATATTATATTTTTGTTAACTCTAATTGCTTATTTTATCAATGTCAATAGGATGACTTTTGACAGAATAAGCGATAGAAGAGTTACATTGCAACACTTTTAATACATTGAAGGTACAATATAAAAAATTTAAAACTACAAATTATGAAATCTTTTGAGAAGTGCAAAGTGCTATTCCCCCAAATCATTAATTGGTAAACAGGGGCTGATCTTACTCTAAAAAATAATACCGACAAGTTATAATCAAAGCGGATTTTCAGGAGATTTAAACCCTCCCCACATCACCCCTATTGTTAACCTTTTCCTTTTGTTTATTTGTAAAACTGTGTATGATTCTTTCGGGCAAACTACTTTCCCACTGTGTTAAAAACCACCACCTTTAACTCTTAATTTCAACCTTTCACACTTTCCAGAGGTGGAAAGTGGGTTGTGACTTTAGCCCTTTGTTGTGTTCACAGGTACTCATATTAACATGTAAAAGCAGTATGTTGGACCTACCTCAACTATTGAACACACCAAAAAAGCTCATTTACAACTTAACATCATATGGGTGAATTATGAGTACTATGTGGTTATGTTAAATATATGGATTGGGTTACCATGATGGTTCCTTTCTCTAAAACTCTTTATTGATGCCACGGGAAAGAAAAGTAGAACCACTAAAACACCCTCGGATTACCAATTAATAATTGATCATCATTAGTCGGATGGTCGATAGATATGATCAGATCGATGTTGGATATCATGTATAAACATATGAGTGTTGTTAACGATGAGATTGAATATCGTGATTGGGAAATATGAACAAATTAAAGCAAGTTGATGCAAATAAAAGTTTAAAGTAAAAACTTTAAATAAAGCCTTGTTAAAATTAATGGAGAGAATTTTTACCATTCATTGATGAGATGCATACCCTCTCTAGCTTGAGATTCTCTCTAATAAAAACTTTTTTTTAAATGGTTCTTTTTTTTTTTTTAATCTTTTTGGGAACCCTTGAAATATAATGTTACACTAATATATTACAAAACATTAATCAGCATTTCTCTTATATTTGTTTAAGGAAATTAGTCGCATGTCATATTCTAAAAAGTTGCATATTTTTCATTTGGCCTTGTGCAACCATCTCATTGGCCTAGACCTAGGGCCGACCCTGTATAGGGATCATAGAAGGATTTAGAGGAGGATTTAATGCTTATGATTTCGTGTTAAATTCGAGTTATTTAGTGTCAGTTAAATGACTGTAAAACAACAGTCGATTTTGAATTTTTAAATATCTATTTTTGTTTAACAGCCTTGTCTTTTTCGAACAGTCTATGGCAATAGTTCAGACAACCATTACACTCACCCAAACAGGCTTGATTGCGTTTATAAATTGGCGAAACATCGATCATTTCAGCAGGCATTCATTCTACAGCAAATTGTACGTTTGTCTTATATATAAAGGCTTCAGTGTTTTCCATTGATTACCATTTTATTTTTATTTTTTTACTAAAACACGTTTTCTCGATGAAATAAAATTCTAACATCGTGATTGTTTACTGGTAAAACGTGAAAGTATCCAAATTTGGTTTTGTTTCTCTGCATAACACAATTAAACATCATATTAAATCTATATTCTATTGTCTCGAAGGTGCAAATTTATAGCCAATTGACCACTTGTACACGCTAATTTACCATAATTTGTAAGGACAAATATCGTCTTCACAAACAGTTTTACTAAAACCGCTTTGAAACGTTCTTCCATCGTAAAATATTTGCACCAAAATTTTACACCAAATTGTTACA